AACTGGATTTGGGGAGAAGCTGTTTAGCGCCGCGAGGGATGGCGTGGATCGCATGGGCACGAAGAGTCCGTTGCAGGAGGAGGCGAAGGCGAGTGTGGAGGGGAATTTGAAGAGTATTGGGAAGTTTTTTATGAGGGATATGAGTGGGTTTGGGGGGAGGTTTGGAGGGAGGAGGGAGGATGATAGATGATAAGAGATTATAATGAATAATTTTAGGAAATGATTAATGGGTTATATTCTTGAAGCTAAGCCGAGTTTGTGGATGAGACCTCTAAGCCTTCTGGTTTGTTTTGGACAATTATCTATTCATTTATTATTCTACCAGCCCATTGCTGACGTCTAGTGGCCGTAAGCTTCGTTCATCAATCATTAAACCCTTTCTAAAATCAAGAAGCAAAGCCAAACGCTGCCTTGACCCGCCTATTCAATTCCGCAGCCATAGCATTTCTCCCATCCCTAGTTCTCTGTACCGCATCCTTATTCTCTTGTGCCCTTCTCAATAGATACTTCATACACTCCCCTGTTGTGCCCCAGACCAGGTATTTGTACGCCTTGGGAATATCAACCTTCATCTCTGCGTCTCCTGCTTCCACCCTACCAGCTTGAACCAATTCGCAGCTGACTTCATCCGCCATGCCTTGTAGTTGTGCGTAGACTAGATCTATCTGCTCTTCTCCGTGTTTGGCCTGCTCGGTACGAAGCGCTTGGATTTTACGGACTGAGGTGTGGTTGTGGCCTGCCAAAACAACATTGACGGGTGGGAAGTCGGTCTCTCCGGGTGCGGGCTTCAATACAGAACCATAGGATCTGCGAGCAAGACTGGCTGATATGCCATTGTAGCAATCATCTGTATCGGCTTTCGTGTCGTGGATGAGATGTCTGGGATCAGAGCCTAGATATGCACCTCTGACTAGCTTGACACCAAGTGTGAATCCATCCTTCCGTGCAGCAGCAAGATGAGAGGCTAGGATCGAGGGAGTGGCTTTGAGGTATGCTTGGTAGGTGCCATACACGATTGCCTTGCCAGGTGTCTTTCCGTTGTATGCCCGCATGTATTTCAAGGTCCAAGCGTCAATGCCAGCTTGCACAGCTTGTTGTTCAGCATCGAAGAGGAGTCTGACATCTCGAGTAGCAGCAAGGTCACAGATAGAGTCGATAGCTTCCTTCAGTGCAGCAGACGGGCCGGTCTTTTGACTAAGGTCGAAAAGTGCTTGGCTGCCGGCACCGGTGAATTTGAGGGCAACGAAGTCACCGGGGCTTGCTATCCGTACCGTTTCCAGAGTTCCCTGTGCCCAGGGGTTGATCTCATTTCGTATGCATGCTTCGGCAGCTTCGTTGTCTCCAGAAGACTGTAACTTGCCCGTTTGACTCTCGTTCAGCACGACCTCTTTTGCGTAACCGAGTATGACGCCCTTGAATCCGAGGTTCTTCAAGCCATCCACCGTCTGCTTGACCTCTGCGGCGTTTTCTCCAGCACAGAACTGGCGATAGAAGGTCTTTTTGAGGAAGTAGCGGAGGATGGGGTTGTGATCTGGAGCGAGGATTGGTGATTGGGCGTGTGCAAGCTTGGACATTATAGCCAGTGAAGGTGTTAGGAGAATCTGCAAGCAAGTCAGCATGATGCCGAAAGAGGAAATGGCAGTGCGCGTATGGTGCCTACCCTGGAAGACGAGATGGATGTTATCGCCAATGACCTGAGAATGGAATGGAGGGGAAGGATCGACAAGGGGGGTACCCTTGGCGGCATTGTAGCAAACGTGGGAGGGTGAGGGGCAGCAAGATGGTGTGAGACAAGATCGGATTCTGACGCAAACACTTTTCCCGGTGTTTTATTATGAGATGGATGCTCAGCAGCGACATACGAAGATTGGCGAGAGACGGTGCGAGAGGAATGCCATCTTGCCGAAGATGGAAGTGGAACTGAAACAAAAAGAAATGTGCTTGAAAGTTGGAGGCAAGGACGAAGTGAATGGTTTGTTAGCCCCGCCATAGCATAGTCAGTCAGTCAGACAGTCAATGGAGAATATGATAGACAATTCTATCAATCAGTTTGACTGGAAGTGACAGTGACAGTGCGCCAGGTGCAATGGAATGGATTGGATGGGATTGGATTGGATGAAGATGAGGTGTGGTATGACAAGCAATTGAGGGAACACAAAGACCTTTTTATGTTCCATATCAATAGAACAATGCAGCGACTTCGGCGGGCAGCAGAGTGAAGTTGCTTTTTGCCTTTCACTTGTTCGCTGGTGAGGGAGGGGGAGGGGCAACAAGAGATACGGTCCTTATCTTCAGCCGACGAGAGCCGTTTGTTGGTGAACAAACAGCCCCGCTTGGATCTGGGTCGATTGCCAAGTGCGCAATATGACTGGTCGACGAAAGATGGGGAAGATAGCTTGAAATACTTTCGGGTCCCCCCTCCCTTATTGAGCCATAAACACATTACTCGGAGTCCTACAAAGCTCCACTACTCCCCCTCCTAAGCCTCTCACTCTGCTTCCACTTCGGCTGTTGTACTGCGCCGTCGATTTCGAAGTAGGAAATCCACGTAACCCGGTCTGCGACCATTTGCGGCTCCCAAAGCATCCTCTGCTAAGCCGTACGCAAGCCCGATAGCCAATCCAGTTCTCGCCGTTCTCGCTGCTGTTGCGATTGGGAATCGGTCTATCGTGATTATTAGTCGGTAAAAGGTCGGGCGGTTATGTTAAGGAGAGGATATGGGAGGAAAGGGAAGGCAGGCAGGGAAGGTGCGACCTACTCCATAAGCTGAATGATCCAGACACGACCAAACTAGCAAGAACAGTATTGATGAAATCCTTCGTCCTCCTGTAGCGATCAAAGAACTCTTCAATGGCAAAGAAACCGGCAGTCCAGAAGCTGATCCTCGCGCCCATCTTAAATCCCTCCTTGACACCACCCAATGACATGTTGTAGTTCTTGCTCTTGTGATAAAAGTACCATCCTGCCTGCGAGTTGGGCAATCTATGCGCATTCTCTGCCCGGAACCGTAGCCCAGCTTGTTGAGCGCCATGCGATACGCCCAGAGCTCCCCCTGCCATGAAGGACAGAGATGTCGCGAGAAGAAGCCGCACGGGATAGGGAATAGAAAGACGAGCTTCAGCCTTGGCCTTCCTCGCCCACTCCATCCTCAAGTTCCGTTGTTCCTCTGCCCGTAGCTTCTCTGCATCTTCGGGTTCCGTTTGACTGGCCATGGCGCTGTCTGATGAGAGGACGTTGGATTTGAACGAGACTGTACGACAGCCCCAGGTCTCCAATCCCGGAGGGCACACAAGAGGATTTTCGGTCACGGGATCAGGCGTTTTTGCAGGACGCGGGGCATTTGATTTTCAACCACCAGAACCTCGCAGGCGACGGTCAACATCAATGTTCTTCGCGGCATAATCGCATTTACGATAACATCTGTCTTCAGAATGGTATAGCTTAACGTCCAACCTATAACAATTGAAAGACTAACTCCAGATCTTTCAGGTCAAACCCCAAGAACCCGATCAATCGACCTACACCTTGCGCTTTAAACACGGCAAACACACCGTCCTCCTCTTCGCCGACCCCAACACGCCCTTCCCAACCCTAATTTCCGAGCTCCTCCAGACGCTCCACGAACGCTACCCCGATGGTCTCCCCACCAGCAACTCCCCCGATCCCGTTGCAGTTCCACACGATATACTAGAAGTGACGCTTGGCGTGCCAGTTGACGTGCATGATATTAGTAAGGGCTGGACGGAGCTGGATACTGGTAGGCAAGGGGGCTTGAAAGAAACACCTATGAGTTTGGGACTTCATGATGGCGGGATGGTGGCGTTTGCGTTTGATGGGAATGAGGAGAAGAGAGCGGAGTTTCATGTCGAGTTTAGTGATGAGAGTCAGCTGTATCCGGAGGAAGAATGATGTGAAAAGGGGGTTTTGAGGACATATTGGGAGGGCAGGGCATAGACTGGCGTTTTATGGCAAGGCGTGGATTTGCTGGTTTGGTTTATGGATTCACGAGATCTTTTACGAGATGGTGGGTGTTGGCAGAGCTGGAATGATATACCATGAAAATCACGGATTAAAGTCGAAGCGTTGATTTCCAATACAAGCCTTGGGGCAGGATTCTAGGATTCTGAGATTCTATGATATGTAATGCGTGATGGGCATCACTGAAAGCGATCGCTAGCCTACCAACCTCACAAGGCTTTCTTGCCATTGGCATGTACCTTGTTACCTCCAACAACTTTCCTCCCATCCGGGAGGACCTCTTCCGTCTTCCTAATTTCAGCAAAGACAAAAGGGTAAATCAAGTCACACACCAAAGCGGTGCCCCAGAGAAAGACCCCAAACGGCGACATGAAGTACTCATGAGCCTCCCTCCACATATACCACATAGCCCCATAATTGAGATACAGCCCAATCAGCGACCCTGAAGCTCTCGTAACCCTATACACACCATTAATTAACACCACCACCGAAAACCCACTCACATCAGAACATCACTTACCAAATCCCCCAACTCACACCCCCAGTATGCTGCCTAATCACCAACTGCCCCAAACTCGCCGCGCTCAAATAAGCCTGACTAACGCCCGCGCTCCAAAACCCCAATTCCGTCGTATCAGCTGCTACCCTGCCAAAATAATACTTCCCCTCCTTCCGCCCCATCTCCTGCTCAATCCACCAGCTGGCGCTCGCCCAGTGCCCCACGCAGCACCACGCGGTCATGATCCAAAAAACCTTGCCCAGGTGCCGCGCAATGAACGGGGCGTGTTTCCACTCGTTCGCGCCGTGCAGCACGAGCGCGTAGACCATGATGCAGTCGAGCAGACACCAGATGGCGAAGACGCCGCGCTCGAGCGGTGCTTCGGCCACGTAGAAGGCGTAGATTACTTCCCAGGCGAAATTGAAGGAGAGTGCGAAGAGAGGCATGCCGTATGTTTTTGTGAGGAGGGACTCGCGGGCTAGGAGGATGTAACATAGTGTCCTGGTTGGTTAATTGGGGGGTTAGCAATTGGTTCGAATGTGAGGGGGGTATACTTGAAGAAGTTGGCAGCTTCAGGGGTGTGGTAATATAGATAATTTGGTATGGAGGAGAGCTGAGCTTACCATAGGGAGCCTCCGACTTGGAGGAGAGTATTGGTTATGGGGAGGTAGTAGGGGGAGACGTGAGGTGGGGGAATGTCGTTGGAGCCCATGATGGCGGTATTTGGGGGTTGAGAAATGAGTTTGAATGAAAATAGTTGAGGTTGTGTTTATATTGTGTCGTCCCACCTTTTTGGGGAGAATCTTACTATACCTGGACAGCTCCAATTTTTGCTACAGTAACCCATTGTCAAAATGGCAAAGAAACTTGCCTACCTTTCAAAAACTCATGCCATAGCATTTATGAAGGTATGAAAAAGGAAATACGAATGAAATTGTACAGATTCCATGTCAATGTAACTTATCGAGACTGTTGTCACAAGCAGCATTTGATTAGGGTCTCATTATTTTACGCCAGGGGGAGAGCTTCAGTGGACCTCGGCACAGCTTCCCCAGATTTCGGGTCGGTCTAGGTACTAGATGACTGCCCCGCAACCTCACTTGTCAGCCTCGACATTAAAAAAGTCGTCCAAATGAAAACCCAATGCCTCCCAAATCTTCAAGTTCCTCGTTATTGAGAACAAGATCCACCCATCTCATCTTTAGCTCTTCTCCAAAGCCCAATCTAAGACGAAATTCAAGCTTTCTAAGTAGCAACAGCCTTGGGCCTTCTACTTCTTTTAAGATCTTTAGAAAATCAAGAGGGGTAGGATTATACAAAAAGACGATGGCGCCTCCTCGCCCAGAGCTAGAGAAGCAATATATGTCCTCAAATAGCAAGCCAAAGAATGAGATAGCAGAGCCCAAACCCAGTGCAAGGTTGGTCTTCTTTCTTATCCACTTTCTGCTTCTCCATTCTAACATCCCTACAGTATCCTCCTAATATCCCCTACCAATCAAATACTCCTCCTCCACCGTGTACGCACATCCAGTTCCTTTGCCTCGGCGCACGTTTTCCCAGGTGGAAACCTCTCAGCTTCCCAAGATGGCGAGATACCCGGACTAAAAGACGAGGGAAGACATGTAGATGGGTCAGCATATAGAATAGGCGCAATACGGGAGACCTTTGAAGAGAGTGGAATTCTGCTAGCCAAGAAAGAAGACGGGTCACTGCTGGAGGTGGAAGAGGATATTCGGGAGAAAGCGCGGAAAGATATCCACGCCGGCAAACTAAAATTCCAAGACTGGGTCAAATCCCTAGGAGGAGTTATAGATTCAGGTAGACATGTCTTCCCCATCCCATCAATTTTCCTTCTTGATCAAGTCCTAACATAAATAGACGCCCTACACCCTTTTACACGTTGGATAACACCTCCAAATCTCCCAAAGCGCTTCACAACACAAATGTACATCTACTTCCTGCCTCTCACCCAAACATCCGCCCAAAACATCATATCAGCCTACATCGTTCCAACCCCGACTTCCGACGGCGGGGTAGAGCACACCGCTGCTCTGTTCGCCTCGTGTTGGGATTGGTTGAACCAAGCTACGAAAGGAGAAGTCATGTTATTCCCACCGCAATACTACCTGATGCACCTGCTCTCCCCTTTCCTGATTCCCTCTCCTACACCTCTCTCTACACAAGAATTGCAAAAACAGCGCGACGCAGTGTTGGGGTTTTTACAAGGAGATGGAGATGGGAAGGGCGTGAAATGGGCGGATAAAGTTATGAGTCCCGTAGGGCTACTGATGCGGAAGAGTGATGGGCGGAGTGTGCTTTCGCTTGAGAAGCCAGGCCCGGAGTTGGTGGGGAGTGGGAGGGCCGGGGATGCGAAGAGGGTTGTGCTTGTGAAGTTCAGTAAGGAGGGGCCGAGGGATGTAGAGGTTAGGTGGAGGAAAGAGGTTTTGGATGAGGAGAAGAGAGAGAAATTATAGGATATAGATGGAAAGAGTCTTTTCACGTTGGTAGATTAAGATTTTAAATCTAATATGAAGTTAGAGCTAATCCAGGCGGGTTGCTCTTGCTATAATTTTCATGGGGGCTAAGTGGCTCCCGAACCCTTATTACACAGCAGCGGGGCTGACGGCCAGGCTGAGCACCTCCCATATAACAACTCAACACCCCCCCCCCCCCACCCTCCTTCCCCCCCTACTCACTTCCATCCGTTTTATTCTTCTCGAACTAACCTCTTCATCATGGCAGAAGTCTTCGGCGTGGTTGCCAGCGGCTTAAACGTAAGTCGGTTTCTTAAAGGAACACTTCCTCCTTTGAGTCGGGGTTTTCTTAGACGCAACCTCACCCTCACATCAATATCTCGCCTCCCAAACTGTTCATCACAGGCAGTGCTGACTTTCACCTTTGTACGGTTAGGTTGTCTCGCTCGCCATCCAAATCGCAGAAAGTATCAAGAAGCTCAAGGACTTCTGCGACTTAATGAAAGCCGCGCCGGACGAAATCCGTCTCGTTATTGATGAAGTCGAAACCCTGAGCCTGATTTTAGAAGATGTCGACAGAGACATGGAGCAACAATTATTTCTAGATCCAAGGACGAAAGCTACTGTCATGCGAAGTTACCGCCTCTGTCGAAATAGCAGCCAGGCTCTCAGAGCGCTTGTCGCTGAATTGGAAGATCATCTTGCCAGGGGAAACAAGAAAGGCAGCTTCAAAGTTGCAATAAAGCAAGATAAGATCGAGAGCTTCCAAAAGAAACTGGAAAGTGCAAAAGCGACAATGTTACTGGCCAATCAGTGCTATGATCGAGCGGTCCAGGGGCAGAACTGGCAGAGCCATGAGCGTGACATGCTGGAGATGCGGAACGCAGTGTCTGTGATGTCTAATATGGCGATAGTGAACGATTCTTCGAAGTACCGTGGCAATACCCAAGACGTTGTTGAGCAGGTGTCAGAACTTGAAGCAAGACCTAACAAAATATCTACTATCGGTGTATCATCGCATCCATTTCCAAGGCGAATTCAAGGGAGGAGAATAACGAATCAGCAACACAAAAGGCCATTTGGCCTCGTTGATGTAGTAACCTATAACCGAGGAAGCTCGACCTCAACTTCCATCTCCGTTACTTTGCCAACTTGGATATGTGCCCGAGGTTTTCAGATCCAGCTTACTAAATCCTACCAAGGTTGGGATCAAAGCTTCCGGACTTATAGAACAGTCTCGTCTCATGCAAAAGTCTTCCAATTCAGTATGGATGACAATGTAGAGGGTCTTCAACAACTTTTTGAATCTGGTCAGGCTTCCCCGTTCGAGGTCGACTCCGCTTCATGTAAGATTGTTACGCGTGACTATATCCAATGGCTAAATAATCTCAGTATGCTGCTTTACACCACAGATCTAAAACTTGCCGTTTCCTATTGGAAAATGGAGCTGATACGAATGTTCGCACTTCCTGGGGACGTAGACAATTATCAGGGATAGCATTTACACAAATAGGAAATTCGTATATAACAGAAAAAAATCCCACTGCATAGTTGATGCTAACCAGAACAGGACGCCGTTGCATACACTGGCAGCAAATATGGTCTGCGCTTCCCAAAACGTGAGCTTCCACGATACAGTGCAAGTGCTCTACACAATAGGGAATTCCGATCCTTTTGATACAGACGAGTATCAGAACACAGTATTCCATCGATTCATGGGCCCGCAATCGGTTCACGATTGGTTACGACGGGAAGAGGAAATGGAATTAGCGAGCCTGTCCCCAACAGAAAGATATGACTTCATCGCGTACAGTCTCTTTGGCGCTTACGAAACCTCTCCTGAAAGCATCCTTGATTTGCTCCCACAAGGTACGATAACAAACGATACAGTGCAGTATATCATGGAATGGGGCATGTTGAAAGGGTGGAACCTCCTTCATGCAGCTGTTAATGGTTGGACACGGGTATTGGCAGGAAACAAGTCTTTCGACAGCACTGAAACAGCTACGAAGGAATTCCTGATCAAGGAGTTAATTTCTAAAGGCGCTGATATTCACCATGTCTGTGATGTCAACGGCCACACACCCTTATTGACTATTCTATGGCAATTATGGCAAAGCCGTTTGGGTTATCGGGCTGCAGCTGTAAAGCGAGTAGTGAAGTCTTGGCTGAGGCTTCTGAGTGATTGCGACGTCGATCTCGAGAAGTATGGAGAAACAGAGAATTATATGCGGGAAGATCATACGGCTAACTGGATTCTTTGGAAATACTGGTCCGGGTATTTGGAAAGACGTGAAGTAACAGAGATTTGGATTGGCGAGACAGCAGACGACTTTCGTATCGAACTAGAGGATTTTTACTTTACGACAGATCTCGTAGCAGATTTCTGGGGCTGGGTCGAAGCTCCGTCGGACGAATACCTCAAGGTGCAAGAAGTACCTGGAGCGTGGCCAGAAGATTGAACTCAGGAAAGAGAAGTGCAGATATAGCAAGTACAAAAACAACGCCCCTTTTGCGAATCTCCAATACAAAGCACTTGCCTTTCAACACCCATCTTACAACCATTTGCCCAAACAACAGCGCCAGAAATCCACCTCAACTTCACCCCGAAGAGTATTCACAACTACCCGCAACTCGATCCGCATCTAGTGACAACCTCCCCAATTAAAAGCACAAAACAACAACAAACACCTCACCCATCAATCACCCACTCCAAACCAGGTACGCCCCCAAAACTCCACTAACTACACCCCCCCAAACATGACTCCCAGTCCCAGCACCATACCAATACGCCACATACGCATCAGCAGCCGGGACCACCAGCCCCGCCAAAAACACCGTGCCCATCGCGCGCACATCCCCCTGCATCTGCACGCGATGACCGCGACGCCGAACATAAGATTGCGCGCCCCGCACAGCGTCGCTAGCGCCTCGGTGAGGGGAGTCCGGCACGTCGCGTCGTCGCATGGCAGGCCGAAATGCTGTAGGAATGGACGGGTGCCGTTGGGAGCTAGGGTGCGAATTCCTGAAAGGCCGATTATGCCCGCGAAGCTGGTGGTTAGAATTTGGACGACGAGGGGGAGGTAGTGGGTGATGGGAGATGACATTTTGGAGGTTGGTTGGGATGGGTGGATTGCTTTTGGTTTTGATTTTGATATGGAGGTGAGAAGTCGGATGACTTGAGATGATATCGTGACTCTCGGGTCATACAGTAGCTTAGCGCAAGTCGGGTCATTTTTGGTGCCGTACGTACGGACCCGAGAAATGAGACTCGGTCCCTGAAAAGACTGCTCAAGGATCGTTGGCTGTCGCTACTCGTAACTTGGGGCCACTAGCCTATTAAATGGGTACTGCTTTTATGAAACATAATATGAGCGTCCAGCCAAAAGCACTTGCCCTTGTACTCCCATGTAATAGTACATAACTAAAATAAAATAAAATTGCCACTGGTCAAGCAGTCCATGTCAAGCTCCGATCAGAATTTCACCACTAGCAGACTCCTGCCGGTTATAGTAGCTGATCATATTCCCATAGCCTTACTCGGTATATACAATGTCCAAAACAAGTACAAGGCTCAATAACGACATCGCGAACCACCCCTCAGATTCTCTCTCCACAGACAGCAAACACTCTTACTCTCACACCATTTCTTCACTTCCTTGGCTAGCACCTCGCCATCCCAGCCAACCTTATCCAATGCCCCAGTGTTCAGCCATAGCGTCAAGTCCTCAAGGACGATAGGGTCGTAGAGAAGGATCTTCTCTTGCCAATTCGGCTTCAAGGGATCCGTAGACGGTGGAAGGCTGGTGACTGCTTTCGTGATGTGGGAGAAGAGGAATGTTTGCAGCTCAGCCGGAGTCGTTTCCGCCATTTCTTCTTCGGCCGGGTTCAAGAGTCGCAACGGCAAGGGCGATGATCCAAGTTGAGAGGCGCGACGTCGAGGTGGAGAAGGGGTCATCGGAGTATCGGAATCAGAGATTTCATCAACCAACTTCTTGGCTTTCTTCTGTGACTTTTTGGGCGTACGAATTTGTGACAAAGGGGTATCGCTGTCAAATTCTAAAAATTCAACCGTCTCCGTTTTCTTCGGCCGGCCAACTTTCGCTTTCGTCTTTGGTTTTGCTGGAGATGCTTCTGGGCTTGCGGCACTGTCCTTCCTTGGCCTTCCTCGAGGTCGCTTTGGGGAGGTGTTTTGGCTTGAAGCGGGTGGTGCTTTCGCTGAACTTGAATCTTTGACAGGAGATGTTGACAGAATCTTATTGGTTCCCAAAACACCCAATGCGACCCTATTCTTTCCTTCCCAACACTTCTCGAGTAATGTTAGCATCTGGTCACGGTTTTTGATAGGTTTGAATCGATAAGATGCAATCTCTTTCATCAGCTGTGCTGTAGAGTAGGAATCATAGTCAGGCCGTTTGGGAGCTTGCGATGCTTGTGGAATTGTTGATGATTGGCTTGGTCCCGGAACCTTGGGCTTCTTGGAGACCTTCGAAGGTCTTGGAGAATTTTGCTTCTGCATTGAGTTTCTCAAAGGACTGCTCAATAATTCTTCTCTGATTGCCGTCTCGATAGGCCCAACATTCGTTGGCGGCATCTGGTCCATTGTAGATGCTAGTGTCGACTTGCTTATTTCCTCAACATCAAGCCAGTCATCCGTATGACTGGGTAATGAAGTGGCGTTGGGCTGCATAGCAGAGACCTTGAGCATTCTTGCGACGGCTGGCGAGTCTACCATATCAATCATTTCTACATCCAACAGATCACCACTCGTATCACGGGCCCCAGCAGACCACAGGGTTCGTTTTGCTGACGCAAGAGCCTTTCCTCGGCTTGAAAAGACTGGTAAAGGCGAAGAACTGTCAAGTATATCAGAAAATGGATCATCCTCGATCTGATTTGAAGCTTGAATAGCCTCGTGTAAATCTCTAAGGAATGTTGGAGACTCCTCCCGCGCAAGCTGACTTGAAGTTCCGAATACGAAATCCTGATTGCCGACTTGTTTTAAAGCTGATTCTGGCGAAAGTAGAATTGGGGCTTGGGCACTTCCTTTCTTAGGTTTCGACCCCCTTTTGACTGGACTTTTAGCTCGAGGTTTCGCTGGGATTTTAAAGCCGTCATTATTGGCAGAATCCTTGTAGGTAAAGTATTGCAGCAGTGGTGCAGGTGCTGCGGGTGGTGAAGGTAAATCTGCTTCATCTTCTCTATATGCAGATGTAGCTTGGTCTGTGATAGTCCTTGCCTTTTTCTTTGGGCCCTTTGGTTTGGGCGCCACTGCTACTACTGCGGCGTCTCCAACGTTTGTGTTTGCCAGCTCAATAAGCTTTCGCTTCCTGGTACCAGCCCCATCGGGAGCCTTCCTTTCATTGGGATGTGCGTCGCTATTTGTAAACCCAAAGCTCTCAAGAAGGTCTTTGAACCCTGTTGTCTTCTCTTCCGATTCCAGTAAACCAAGTCCTCCCCTAGGAGTATCAGGAGTATCCACAGAAACTGGCATTATTGAAGACAGGGAAGTCGGTCGTGGCGGAGTCCAGGCAGTCCGTCTCTTCACGGCTTCAACCAATCCAAAATCAAGGGACTCCGCAGCTGAATCTATAGATTTAACCTTAACTTTCGAGGGCGCTTCCGCCTTCGAGCCCTTTGTGACTTTGCCCTTCGATATTTTCGTCTGAGTATCTCCATCTACCTTTTTCGCCCTCGGCTGTCTCACTGTTTTCTCTTTCACCAGGACATCCCCATTTTCATCCACATCTACCTTTTTCGCGCGAGATTTCCTCGGGGCTTTCTTCACCTCCCCATTTTCCGCAAGATCACCTCCACTTTTATTTGCTCGTGGCTTGCGCGGTTTCTTTACTTCCTCTCCCTCGTCTTTCTTTGCAGCAGATTTTCGCGTTGGCTTCGCCACCTTGTCATTGCTGGGATCGTCCTTCTTCGCCACAACTTTCTTCGTCCTGAGCTTTAAAGACTTCGTAGGTTCCGTAGAGTCGATATCATATATATCCACAGAGGCTAACGTCAAGGGTTGAATGGTATCCGCGCCTTGTAGATTGTCCGAGGCCTTCTGGAAAAGCGCCGCTGCACTCGTAAAGGACGCTGTCGGATTTTGAGGAATTGGTGCTGCCCGGCTGCCAGTGCGTAATATTTGAGGCTTTTTCATGAATAGATTACTCGGTGATGGTAATGCAGGAGATGAAGACATGTTACAAGTCCCAAACTGCCTCGGCGGAGTCGAAGAGAAAGTCAGGATGTCGGTTGAAGCCATTTTGAGACCAATTAACTTCACTTTGCGCCGGGCGCAATTCGACAATGGAAGGAACGACAGGGTCGGTAATGGTGCTGCTTGTCACATCTCTCAAGGATCGTGAAGGTTTATTTTATGTTATTTGGCGGTGGAGGCTTGTTGATGCCGTCTTCAATGTTTTGCGCGCCAAGATGAGAAAGCGGGACGGCAACCAACGCCAGAAATCACCATGACACGTGACACAGATTACAGTAAAGCTCGCTTAGCTGTGGTATCCCACCAAGACTCATCGAAAAATTGGCTTTTGGAACTCGTCCAATTTTCGAAGTTATCCATCAACCAGTGTTCTTCAAGTCCCCACCGCCAAAACTACCGCAAACATGGAAAACGATAAGGGAGAACTCGTCGACCTGTAAGCTCCTCGAAATCAGCAATGCGACGCTCAAACCCCCCATTCAGAAGGCTAATATTCGATTCTTCACAGTTACGTCCCCCGCAAATGCAGCGCGACCAACCGCATCATCAAGGCCAAGGATCACGCCTCTGTCCAGATCTCCGTCGGCAAGGTTGACGAGAACGGCCGATTCACAGGCGAGAGCCAAGTTTACGCACTGTGTGGCTTCGTACGAGCAATGGGCGAGAGCGACGATTCATTGAACCGATTGGCGCAGCGAGATGGTCTGTTGAAGAACGTTTGGAGTGGAAGCAGCCAGCGCTAAATTTGCACATTTGGGAGTTTCTTCTGGTACGATGAGCCTCGATCTGGACCTGCGAGGGACACTGTGCTAATAGTGGACCAGATTTGCGGTTTACGGTCTGGGTTTCTCTGGGAAGTCGGTCGGAATAAAGCATACCTGGTGGAAAGCATGGGCTGGATTTGGGCTTTGCTGAGATGATCACTTTTCGCATGTGATTACAAAATTCGAGGACCTTTCCCAGAATCGACCATCTTTCATTCGTGTTTGTGATACCTCCCGGAATCGAGAAGTTGCAACGGCTCTTCGAAACTCCTCGTACTCACTCCAGGGTGACCCCTTGTGCGAGGAGCCAGATTGCTATTTCGGTAGCATTGTAGCCGGAGATTGATATAATTCTAGCCTTCTGAAGAGCTGTGACGTTAGAGCATCTCGTCGGAGCACAGATACGGGCCGGACAATCGTATAATCCATGGGATTAGGCTTCCTTTTTATTTCATTCAATTCTGTAATCGTAGTAATGTTCTGTCACCATTGCGCCTATCTGCAAGAGTTCAAGCGACTCCCTGTTGGGATTACCAGATTGGGAAGCACCTCTAAGACACGAAAACGTTGATATGCCCCGTATGATCGTGCATCTCGACCAGAATGTGCAAGATCGATCCCTGGGGAAGAAGAGGGCTCACAAGTGATCGGGCTCTATTCAATTCTATCAAAGCAATAATTTCTGTTTTATTTGATGTACACAGGGTGTTAGTTGGCTGATTATCTCAAGATTGTAATACACAAATCAAGCCTGTCCTCCATTAGCTTTCAACACCTGTCCCGAAACCCACGACGCAGCCGGACTGCTCAAGAACGCCACGACCTCTGCCACCTCCTCGGGCGTGCCAATCTTATTCTGCGGGTTGAAGCCTGCGATCACCTTGAGCAGCTGCTCGCTCTTCCCATTCAAGAACAGATCGGTAGCCGTAGGGCCAGGTGCACAGCAGTTGACCATAATGCCTTTGCGCGCAAGGTCTTTGGAGAGGCCGCGGGTCATCTGCTCTATGGCGCCTTTGGATGCGATGTAGGACAGGTAGTTTGGCGTCACGGTGCTGGCGTGGCATTGCGTGGTTGAGAAGAGGACAACGCGGGAACCGGAAGACATGTGAGGAACGGCTTTCTGTTCTGAAGTCAGCTTTGTTTCATTTCCCTTTACTTCATTTCCATTCTTGATAAAGGTATGCAACTTACCTGAGTAAGAAACATAGGTCCCTTGACATTCAAGTTAAACGTCGTATCAAACTCCGCTTCAGTCAGTTTCTCTAGTTCATTCAAGCGCATAAGACCAGCGCACGCGATCAAGATATCGATCTTGCCCCATTTCGCAACGGTGGCATCGATAAGCTTGCCGATTTGCTCGACGTTTCCGACGTCTGCTTTGATGGCAATGGCTTGCTCGCTGCCGATGAGGTTTACGACTTCGTCGGCGTCTTTAGAGCTGCTAGCGTAGTTGACGACAACTTTAGCCCCGTCGCGCGCGAGACGGAGGGAGGTGGCTCGACCAATTCCCTTTGATCCGCCAGTCACAAGAGCGACTTTGCCGGCGAGGGCTAGAGATGAGGTAGACATATTGATTGATTTTTGTTGACTTAGAAAGTGTTTGTATATAGAGCTTGGAGGTTGTAAATGATTTTTGGTTCGTCTGATTTGGAAAAGATTCGAAGTCGGTTTTCTCTTGATATGTAATCAAGCACTGTTTCTTGTCGAGTTACTGCTTCTGACAGAGGGGATGAAAAGGCAATATATATACGTTGGAAATGTGGCTTGGTACTGGTACTAGTAAGGGATTCGGAATGGTAACTCCATGGGCGAGAAAGTATGCGTTCCAAAGCCCGATCATGCTCCATACTTTAGCTTCTACGCTCCACAGAGACAACCAATAAGCAGTTATATTACAAACTAAAAACATTAGTACGAATAGATGAGACTGAAATTGCTTCTAGGTTGTGAATGAATACCTCGTCAGGTAGAGGTTGTACGGCGGCGCCAAACTCCGTGGATTCTAACCAGGTGAACCTTATCTGGAACGTGACGTCGATGGCTTACGATGGCATATACGATAACGCCTGGATATTTGGCGGTCAAGGAATCTGAGGACCATAGAACACCTGTAGCCAAAGTCGCATACAATTCTGGATTTTGTTGACGGATGAACAAGCTTCATAGCGTTTTCTACGTATATGTCGGAATAAGGGACTAAAACTCGCTTGTCTATTCCGCCACTTTTTCGTATGTGTAGAGGCGTTCAACAGCGAGTGTCGTCTATAAATGTAAGCGAACCCCTGGGGCTGCTACTAGTGTGACACGAATTGGACACTATTGAAGGTCTCAATGCTCTACCCATCTATTTAGAGAGAATGGTTTAGTTGTAAAGTAGAATATCCATAAGCAACATGTCGACTCTAAGATATAAACTTGTTTGGATATTTTTAGTATGCTAGTCATTAGAAAGCCCAAACCATTTAGATAGTTATGATTCTGTCATCATTTATTATCTTAATTTATTTCTTTTATAAACATATAATATCACTCATATGTGTTATTTCCCGCTAAAAAGAACAGTTTCATTCCTGCAGAATTTTGATTCAAGACTTAAAAGTGGCGTGGTGGCAGAAAGATATATGGAGGTTTTGATCAAAAACTTATGTAGCTTACTCCGCTATGTTAGATTAGGTCCAGTTCTTACACCTTAAGATACTTGGAAGCACGTGAAATAGATGCTTTAAAGGTTGAGTTGTCTAGCTTTTCTTGCGCAGACGACCGAGCGAGGATTGAATCAATGGGCAAGGAATTCAATATGATAGAAACTGGATCAAGGTCAGAAGCTTCAGGTAGAGGACAAATCATTATTAGGAATTCGGGTTAACTTCCATTATCAAAATTGTTGTTCATCGCAGCTTCTTTTTTGGAGTACCCAAGGAGCCAAGTAGTTTGTCTTAATTTAAAAGTGGGACGAGCAAGGCTACGACGCGACTTCGATGAATGGTCAGGCGCATTCAACCCAGACCTGCAATCGCTCACATTCTGCATTATCGCATACCCTAATACCCAGCCTTCCCTCCCATTCTCGCAACCCATCCTCACTATCTCACAGCCTTATTCCCAGCTGCGGTGTCTCGTGCCCTTAAATCCCGAACCCGAACGTCACCATGCCCATAGATGCGAAGGAGGTGGAAACGCGCCTGAAGGCTCTCCAGAGAGCTGTGGCAGGAGGAGATTCAGCTGCGTCCATCACAGATATCCTCAAGAGTCTATTGAACGATGTGGTTCCTACCGAAGAGCTACTCAGGGTATGCTCTTGATTGCTACGCACATTCCACAAGAGCGCATGCGGAATTGCTCAGCTTCTTTGGATTGCGATGATCAACAAACACTGACAGACATCTAGTCCACTAAAGCCGGCATGATAGTATCGAAGCAGAAGGCCAACCCGAACAAAGACATTTCAAGACTCGCACAGGAGATAGTCATAAAGTGGAAAAAGATTGTTCAAGCAGAGCAGACACAGTCCAAGAAGCACAAGATGCCCGCATCATCCCCACCGAATAACGGCAGCATTTCATCGCCCGCACCTGCCCACGAACCAAAGGGCTTCCAGGGCGACAAATCTAAGCGGCGTTGGGATACCGAGAAGGTCGATATTAAACGGACGGGCATACCATCACGGGATAACTGCATTGGTCTGCTGTACAATGGTCTTGCGTTTATGTCCACGGAGGGTGCTACAACTCTTATCATCAAAGCTATGGAGGTTGAACAAGCCGCGTATGACAAATTTGGGGGCGACAACCAAGAATACCGCGGGAAGCTTCGATCACTCTTCCAGAATCTCAAGAATGCCACTAATCGGGAACTGGGCCCAAGAGTTTTGTCTGGAGAGATCTCTGCTAAGCGATTCGTGGTCATGAGTCATGATGAACTCAAGTCGGCTCAGCGCCGAGAGGAAGATCTGAAGCTTGAGGCCGATAATTTGAAGAAGGCGCAAGTACCAATGGCCGAAAAGAGTATCAGTGATGCTCTGAGATGTGGAAGATGTGGTCAAAAGAAAGTCAGCTACAGCCAGGCCCAGACGCGAAGTGCTGATGAACCGATGACAACCTTCTGTGAATGCACAGTCTGTGGTAATCGCTGGAAGGTAGGTTCTTTTATATTATCAAGACGTGGATTAAGTCTAACTATCACAGTTTTCTTGAGTTTGGGACCGCAGGAAAACCCCCAAAAACTTTCACTTCTCAACGCACATTTATGGATGGATTTAGGGGTTGGGGTCTGAGCGACATGGGGCTATCAATTTTATTTTGAAATGATGTGGTGGTTCGGAGGGAACCGCGAGGTTTGTGGTTACATTTGGCATTGACCATATCGCCTGGAGTTGGCATCTCTTCCAACACAGGAAAAATCTTTATCTACCCACGCAAGAGCTCCTAGGCATGATTTGAACGGGGTAACAACCTTTCTTTTGACGGCAGCGAGAGCGTGGCAATAAAGCCACAGGCAAATACACTTGCAAGATCTGTTCATTGCCCAGTTCAACCCTCAGACAGGTCTAAGAGCCCAAGGAGATCAGTCTCTTCATCGTCCTCCAATCCTTGCTCCCCAACTCTCTTCCAAAATTTGCTCAGGTGTCTGGTCCCGCTATCACACAAGATAGTAACAATACGACTTCCCTTGGGCATCTGAAGAGCAGCGGCTACCGCCGCAACACAGTTGATGGCGCTACTACTTCCTATAAATATACCATCCTTTTCCACCAGCCATCTAGCCATCTTCAGCGCTTGCAAATCCGTGACCTTCACAGCATCATCAACCAGCTCCCTCCCAGCTTCAAAATTCTCCGTAAGTCGATTGATGCCAATGCCTTCCACAATAGTATCGACCTGCTGCCGTCGCCGGGTCCCTTCTTTCTCGGTATTTGAGAACATGACTCCGTGCTTGACTTTATTGTACAAGCCACTGCCTTCTGGATCTGCCAAGACGACTTTGAGATTTCCCATGCCCATTTCTTGCTTGAGATACAGAGATATGCCTGATATTGTGCCTCCAGTTCCAGCACCAGCGACAAATGCATCGATCTAGAGTAACGTTAATACAACACTTTTTGAGGGTGAGAGCCAACCTGCCTGACCCTCAGTTTGGTGATAGATTTCTGGACCCGTGGTCTGAAAATGTGCCCGATAGTTGGCAAGAGATTCAAACTGATCGGCGAAGAACCCTTTACTCTCATCCTCTCCCGAAGCTGTGTGATCTCTCGCCCTTGTCCTTGCAAGATTGACAAAGTGCCCAGTGGATGTAATAGGAGCAGGCGTGACTCGCTCTACAGTGGCGCCTAGATGATGCAACAAATCCGATTTCTCTGTACTTTGGTCATTGGGCATACATATGTAAGCTTTGTAGCCTTTCGCTCTGGCCAAAGTAGCTAGAGAGATTCCTGTTGAGCCAACTGTGCCTTCATAAATCGTATCCCCTTGCCCAGGGGTCAGCAGACCATCTTCTTCCGCCATCTTGATCATGTTCAAAGCCACTCTATCTTTGGGACTCCCTCCAGCACCATTGAGGAATTCGGCTTTGGCAAGAATTTCACAGCCTGTAGCTTCGGACAAGCTCTTGATCTTGAAGAGAGGCGTGTTGCCAATGCATCCTTCGATGCCCTCGGGAATTGGCGACCCAATCGTAGATTGTCTTGTGCTTCTCGAGTGATCTTCAAGCTTCACAGGAGGCAGAGATATGCTTCCATGACGAAAACTAGACGAAGAAGCAGGTTGTCTCCTCCGAATAGAGTCGTACCTCCTTTGGAGATCCGGATAGACATCTTTGAAGCCCAGCGTCAAGAGAACGCCAGCCGCAAAGGCCGCCGCAAGGGCTGCAGATCCATAAGCTTTAGGATGATTGCTTAAAGACATCGTATCATCGTAAACGAACCATTATGTACATGTGGATATAAAAAAACAATTTTCATGAACTTTAGAAAACAGTTGGTCCTTCAAAGAAGCTTCCGTACCCCTGTAAACCTCGCAAATCTCAAGAGCTTGGACCCACCTTGAAGTCAACATCAACCTCCCAAAAGCACAGATTCCCATAACCACCGCGCAAAGTAATCACTGTCACATGAATGGACTCTCCAATCGTCTCGCGGTTGTTCAGACAGCTGTTTACTCATCGGTCCTGCCAGTCTATACGTTCACATTCCACCCCGCCGTTTCGAATACAACATGCGCGCCGCCATGCGCAGATTAGATGCTTGTCGAGCAGAAGAGGGGAAGGTGCCGAGGACAGTAATTGGCAGCAAAGAACGGACATGTGGCCTTCGGATATGACGAATGAGTATGAGAGTTTTCCTATGGTTACGTCGGACCAGCTGAGGACGAGGAGAGAACGGCCTCGGAGGGTCAAGATGCTTACCAGGGACTTTATTGAAGGTAGGCAGCTCCTGGGTCTTTCACAACCCAAACTTACTTGCCCGCAGACTCCCTATACAATCCCTCATATGGCTATTTCTCCAAACAAGCTGTTATCTTCACGCCCGGAGAGCCTTTTGGGTTCAACAACCTACAAGATGAGCCTGAGTTCTCGAAGCTTTTGGGGGAAAGATACACGCAATTCGAAGACAAACTGGACGCAAAACAACCCAATGAATCACGGCAGCTTTGGCATACACCGACCGAGCTTTTCCGACCATATTATGGCGAAGCAATTGCTCGATATCTCATAGCAAACTACAAGTTGTTACAGTACCCGTACAACGACCTAATAATCTACGAAATGGGAGCCGGAAACGGAACCCTCATGCTCAACATCCTGGATTACATCCGAGACACCGAGCCCTCAGTATACGACCGGACGAAGTTCAAAATTATCGAAATCTCTTCCAGCTTGGCGAAGCTGCAACAACAGCATTTGATGCAGAGTGTAGATTCAAAGGGACATCATTCGAAAGTAGAGATTATCAACAAGTCGATCTTCGAATGGGACCAGATCGTCCCCTCACCGTGCTACTTTCTAGCAATGGAAGTCTTCGACAACTTCGCCCACGATTCTATCCGCTATGATCCAGTCACGGAGGAACCGCTCCAGGGTACGGTTCTTATCGACAAGAAGGGTGATTTCTACGAGTTCTATGTACCGCATATCGACCCTGTAGCGTCGAGGTTTCTGAGAGTCAGACATGCTGCTACTGGAGGCAGCTATTCACATCCTTTGAGCTCGAGCAAGGTGTGGCGGAAGCTGAAGGCGAGCATGCCTTTTGCTCCCAACCTGAGTGAGCCGGAATATATTCCTACAAGATTGATGCAGTTCTTTGATGTGCTGGGGAAGTACTTCCCCGGGCATCGATTATTGACGAGTGATTTTCATGATTTGCCGGATACAATTAAAGGAATCAACGCGCCGGTTGTTCAGACCAGGTATCAGAGGCAGACTGTGCCGGTTACTACGCCTTTTGTAAGTTCGAATTTCATGTCCCTTCAAGCGCAGAGCTCCTGTTAACACTTTCGCAGGTACATCAAGGATACTTTGATATCCTCTTCCCTACGGATTTCAATGTAATGGAGCTTATGTATAGAGCGATTACTGGCAAGCTCACGAGAGTGTTGACCCACGAAGAGTTTTTGAGGAAGTGGGCCTATGTTGAAGAAACGGAGACGAAGAATGGAGAGAATCCGCTCTTGACTTGGTATAAGAATGCCAGTGTTCTTACGACGATATAGGCAGTACATGTATATGATACCAGAGGTTTGACCTCACTGTACAATCAGCATTGCAACCCATGCATTGTAAGTGTCTGCTGAAGAAGTGGCCTATTCGTTATTGGTTCTTCAAGGGGGAAATAGTTCGAGAACTCTAGTAACTTTGTAGAAACGAGTCTTTTATACCACCGGATAGCAGTGCGTGACGGGCCTTATCTCGTCTAGAATCCCGGGATGAATTGCAGGGTACTGAATTCGCCAAAATAGGCAATGAGGGGTTGGTTTTATCAGGCGGAGCCCAAGCTGAATGACTGTGCTGCATGTATCATCCAGGTAATGGAAGGTTCTGAAAGGGAATTTAGAATCCTAGGCTAGATAAAATAAAAGGCTCAAACAGTTTAATGAGACATTTCGATAGAATAATCACTTTAGAGGCAGATAGGCTCTTTGGGCAGGGCTGAGCATGGCAGAGTTGCTCACTCTGGACGCGGCGCGGCTAAAACTTGGAAAGACGCTAGACGAGGGGCTCTCATTCCATTTCCCACCAAGGCTATCATATCAACCTCCATCAACACCATCCCCACAACTAGCCACCACTCTACCAAACCTTTCAGCGCTTGTCGCGCATTTAACCCTAGGAAGACTGGTCGCCGGCGCGATAATTATTCGTCCTTGCTCCTCTTCCGCGACAGCCCTCTTCCGCAACATAACCTCACCCCCAATCTGTCCGAGCCTTGCCTGGGCGGGCTACGAACTGCAAGATGGCGCGCGTCTATGCAGATGTCAACTCGCAGATGCCACGTGCGTACTGGGACTATGACAGCGTGAATATTACCTGGGGAAGTCTCGAGAACTACGAGGTGGTGCGCAAGATCGGTATGCGAACCCCGCTTCTTCTCCTTCGCGTGCGCAGAACTGACTTGATTCAAACGTAGGACGAGGCAAATACTCGGAGGTTTTTGAAGGCATCAATGTCGTCAACTATCAGAAGTGTGTCATCAAGGTTTTGAAGCCGGTGAAGAAGAAGAAGATAAAGAGGGAGATCAAGATCTTGCAGAATCTTTCAGGAGGACCGAACATCGTCGCACTCTTAGACGTTGTCAGAGACAGCCAAGTAAATCAATCATCTCCTTCATACGATCCTAAGACGGCACCCAAAGCTGGGAAGATGAAGTCAGCCGTGGATGTATTTGTACACTCCGATCAAGAAACAAACGACTCATACATGATGCAGAGCAAAACGCCGTCACTCATCTTTGAGTACGTTAATAATACAGATTTCCGAAGTCTGTACCCGAAGTTCGTCGACTACGATGTCCGATTCTACATTTACGAGCTCCTGAAGGTAACTTATATCGAGGTATGGCACTGGTGTAAGTGTACCCGCTGCTAATCGTCCCTAGGCTCTCGATTTCTGCCATAGCAAAGGCATCATGCACCGAGACGTCAAACCCCATAACGTAATGATCGATCATGAGAACAGGAAGGCGGGTTCATTTATTCAAACATTGTAGGCAGAGGCTAACGCGGCGTAGCTGCGACTTATTGATTGGGGTCTTGCCGAATTCTATCACCAAGGCACCGAGTATAATGTCCGTGTAGCTTCGAGATATTTTAAGGGACCCGAGCTACTGGTGGACTTCCAGGAATACGACTACTCTCTCGACATGTGGTCTCTAGGTGCTATGTTCGCTTCTATGATTTTTAGAAAGGAGCCCTTCTTCCACGGAAACAGCAACTCTGATCAACTAGTCAAGATTGCGAAAGTCTTAGGTACCGAAGATCTCTTCGACTATCTGGACAAGTACGAGATCGAGCTCGACCAACAGTACGATGATATCCTTGGCAGATTCCAGAAAAAGAGCTGGCACAGCTTTGTCAACTCTGAGAACCAAAGATTCGTTAGTAACGAGGCTATTGATTTCTTGGACAAGCTGCTCAGATACGATCATCAGGTATCTTCACATTCATGCCTACTTTGTGGCTGATATCCCTAACACATACCAGGAACGATTGACCGCGAAAGAAGCTATGGCCCATCCATACTTCAGCCCTGTCCGAGCCAATGAGCAAGGCCGTGTTGTAGCCGGAACTTCTGCAGCACCTCTTAGTTGAATGGATTACATCAAATGACATCTGACCTTTGATCAAATGTTGCTTGATTATGACCGTCAAAGATTACGCTGACACCCAAATATTACATCCCTGTGTTCTTCCATTTGTTCCGGCCATTGCACGTTGTTGATCGTGTAAAACTCGGGTTAGGCGTCTTTCTTCATTTCATGACACTTGCAGTACGGTAGACAGAGAGCTGTCTGAAGATAAGGAGGGAAGCTGTAGTGGGATGGTGGAGGGAATGGAATGGTGGCGTTATAACTTTACTTGCATACCCTGGACTCCGATTCTTCGTGAAAGCTTCGGAGATCGGTACTTTTTTTTGTCAATAGCGTTCAATACCTGCGATCTGAGCGCGCTCTCTTTTTAGATCGATGATACTCAACGAGACTTCTCCATTAGTGTCTTTTTCCTCACATGGGATAAAGTTCAAGTGTTGGATAATGTCCTAAAGATCGCTAATTTGCTCTCGTCTATGACCATGAAGCCCCTCAATAACGCCCATGTAAATGCCCCCAGGCCATCATACGCCATATACCTCTGGAATCATGTACCCTTGCCTTCAAGGAGCTCGTCTCCCATTAGGAGCATTAATATTCGATGCATGCGCCAATAAAAACTTACAACAAGTAAGCGTAAACTTACACGCCCGACTCCACGCATCATCCTGCGCAATACCCAGCTTAATGCTCACATCCCCAATCTTCTCCCCCTCAATTCTATACGGCAGACTCAGCGCCCTCCCATCCCCCGAGCTCTTGGCCGATTCCCTCTCCACAAAAGCGCCCAGTTGGCGCATGCATTCGAGGAATGCTTCCATGGCGGTGTCGAAGCGCCGGTGCATGAATGTTAGGCCTAGAGGCATGTCGCCCGAGGAGTAAAGATCTAGGATAGATTTCTTCGGGGGACGGGAAATGCGTTGGGAACCGATTTTAGAGGCGCTGGGTGAGGGATATTCGTATCGGATTATGCGGGATGTGGAGCCCATTGGTTGCAGCTCGTAGCCGTCGAATTTGTAGCCTAGTTTATCTGCTACTGTTGCGAGGAGTAGGAGGGTGTGGCCCCATGCTGCGTTGATCTCGGGCCAGTCGACGGGCACGTTTGATAATCGTCCTAGACGTAACCCGTTGATAGTCCCGAAACGACCGTCGTGGCTGATGCAGAAGGTATCATTATAGACGTTTGTTCGTTGAAGCTTTTCTAGGAGTTGGGTATCGTGATCGTATTGCTGGTTCACGCTGTCCCGGACGTTTTGGAACTCCGCGAGCTTCAGAGCGAAGGCGTTGCGCTCGCTCCAGAATTTTTCTTCTTCAATGTCTAGCGCTCGTGCTTCCTCGTCCAGCTCGGCAATCTCTTCGTCCACTCCAGCTTTTTCCTTTTCAAGTTTCTTTAACTCCTCAATAGCTGCTGCCTCGTCTGCTCGTGCCTGGGCTAGCTGCTCTTGAGACTCTTTCACCTCTTCTTCTGTAGGAATACCCGCATTTACTTGTTTCATAAATCCGACATACGCATCTCGCTCCTTCGTAGCAGTTTCTAGGCGCTTTTGTAACCCCTCTACTAACATCTCCGTGCATTCCACACATATTGGGTGATCGATGTCGGATCGCGCCGACAGTATTTCGAAAAGCCTAGATATTCTCTCCATATCCTGAGACAAAGCTTTTCCTTCATCATCTCCTCCATCTGCTCTCGGGACTTCATCCTGTCTTTTATTCTTCGGGGTTGTATCCTCTGGTGACTTGATGACGGATGGAGGTACCACTTGTGATTCAGTGAGCATCACAAATGACATGGCAGGATTCCCAGGTCCGCGATTACTCAATAGATCTGCCGATGCGGTATCATTTCGACGCGGCGGCGTGATATGCCGTTTGAAGGTTGGGGAACCTGGATTCTTGGATACTCGGTCGTAGAGCTGTTTTCTTTCTTGGGGATAGGGCGGTCGCGGGGAAGGGATGTTCTTGGGTTGCTGCTGAGACGATGCTCCTATACTAGTTAGTATTTGCGTTCATAAATAGAAGGTCAAGTTAATGTGGATTTACCAACTAAGAGGTCAAAGGCTGCTGGATTCAGATCCTCCAAAGAGCTCTCTAGCTTTAAAGGAGCACGGCATTTTTGACAGTACATCTTGGGCCTCGGTCAAGCTGATCCTCGCGATGTAGAAGGCAGGCGTTACATGGCAGTTCCTTTGATCGTTAAGTAGCAAACATCGTCTATGATACTAGCAATAGTTGTGGGGTTACTTTATACTCTGTAAGGCTGCTATGACAGGCAGGGCAGGGGATGTCGGATGAATATCGGCTTTACTTTAAGCTTAATTTGAACGCCACCTTCAATCACTTTACAGACGCGTAAAAGCGTGTCCAAGCTCAAAGGCTTCAATTACAGAACATCACCTTTTACGATCGCAATCATATCTTCCAGCTTCATATGTTAGGCGCATTGTCGCAAAAATACATATGCGGTTAACATGGAGCCTTTCCGCAAGCGCCAACGATTATACTCTCCTGCCCGCCACGAATATCCAAGACATCGCGATAATCAACATGAATACTACGATGAACTCGCAGAATCTGAAGATTTCGAGGAGGAGTTGGAAGACGAAGAGCCAGTTTCTGACCCGGATGCCGATTTGGAACAGCGAAGGGCGCAGCTGGACTACAAGTTGAAGTCTACTTTTGAAGCAATCTTTGAGAAATATGGAAAGGACTTCGATGGCATTGGAGATGAAATTGATCTGGAGACCGGCGACTGGACCAATAATGGCCATCTCATTGAGATGCAGGATGAACGAGATCCTGGAGATAATCGCCGCGGTCGAGAATACTCGACGGAAGATACCACCGAAACGGAAGAGGGGTTCAGCAGTTCTGTAATGGACGGAGACATCGAAGACGAAATAGACGAGGATGAGGAGGATGAGGAGGATGAAGATTCTGAAGAGGCTGAAGATGCATCTAGTGAGGATGATATGATGGAAGACGACATGATACTACGTGGATTTACCCAGGCGACGCAACAATTCATGCCACCGGAACCCCATACAGAGCCGTCGCATGCACACTCCCGTCTTAGGCATAACTTTCAACGTCCGAAGGTGTCTTGTCCAAGTATACAACCCAAACAACTTCCAACTCGTGAAGAGATACTAGCCCAGTTTGGACCCCAACTCGGCCCAGAAATCATCAAATATGTGTCAGAAAAGAATGTGTCTGATGAGCCGCAAATCGAGCCTGCCTGGAGGACTCCTAATATATCAAGAGCAGCCTCGGGGCAACGTGGGATGAATATCGAGCCAGCTTGGCGTGTTCCCGATTTCCCTGTGTCTGCTCCTAAGAAGCGCCCGATCCTGAAAACCGTTATTCTTCAGCCAGAAGTTGAACGATCGCCATCCCCTGATACAGCCCCATCTCTTTGGGCACCCGCACGAACACGCCGTCGAAAGGGTAGCGGAACGAGTCTTGCCAATGATGGAATGCCTAACAGGGGGAATGCAGGCTTTTACTCGTCGTATTGTTCCACTATCGTTCCTGTAGGGCATCGATCGAAGACAGATTTGGGAACGCATCAAATTCCCCCCAAAAGAAAACCCCGACAAAACTTTACGATGGAAGAGGATCGAACAATGCTGGACTGGATCACCAGGGCTCAGAAGCACAATAGCAAAATACCACACAGCCTTTGGGAAGATTTGGAATCAAAGGTATGCTCTGAAACTTTCATATTTTGTGAAGTCTGCGAATATTGACAAGCATAGTATCCACATCACAATGCGTCTAGTTGGAGGCAACATTACTCCAGGAAATACACGTATTTTGAACATAACAGGATGGAAGATTCTGAAATGTCAACCGCTGAGACCTCAGAAGACGCGCTTCAGTTCTTACATCGGCGCAAATCGAGGCCAGATGAAGCTGAAGAGGCTGACCATACGCCAGTCATCGGAGTCGCCCAATATGAACGACCAGTCCGAGTTCGAAAGCCTGCCCAACGAGACTCACATGTCATCAGTTGGTCAGAAGCAGTAGACACTATCAAATCCCTAGACCCTGATTTGCACGCCGGAATGCGGGCTGATGCGAAGCACAACCTTGATGAAGGTTCTTCGGCTTTTGACCATCATAGGTCGTCATCAAACCAACATGTTCAGCGTCGCCATGTGTCCGATCACAGACAAAACTTCAGGCAAAGCATTCCAAGCCATGGCGACGGGCAGCTATTGCAACAGCCAAAAAGACGGTTCAGCGATTTGCCCATTGATACTCGCAATGAAAAGTCCCGTCCATTGAGTTTTGCTAGCTCTGTCAGAAAAAACAACAAAGATACCTCAATCACAAGTGCTCCTTGCCCTCACGCTGATTGCAGATTTTACACAATGAAAGTTTATATATTACAAAGAAGAGCAGACGAAGAGCAGTCACAAATGTCCTCGCACCTCCTCAACGTTCATCATACATCGCCGTTTCCATGTGGAGAAATTGGATGTCTCCACAAAGGAGAGCATGGATATTTTATGCAAGCGGATTTGGTTAGACATGTCAAATCAGATCATCCAAAAATAGGAGCTTTACATCGACTGCGAGGTCGAGTTGACGCTCATTTGTTAGAAATAGGCAGCGAACTCGGAAAGCCTCTAGAAGTCTCATCAAACGAATCTAATCCATCAAGCGATCGACCAGTCACCCAACATAGAGACTCCGATTTCATGTCTCCAGCTAGACCCCACAGTAATGGATTTACGTCAACCAGTCGACCATTTTCAGGAAGTTCTGACCTAGATCAAACGTCAACTCCAAGGGGTACAACTAGCGCTTCAACACATACACCGATGACAAGCGTTTCATCGCTCATAGTGAACCACCCCTCTGCAAAAGTAAACACTATAACGGGAATGGACCATCCTGCGGAAAGATTTCTAAGAACAATCACAGATATGCACAATGAGGAGCCCAGGAACGAAAAAACGTCCAATCAAAGGACTCATTCTTCCACCTTCATGGATGCAAATGAAGAACAGCAGCAGATGCAATGGTATAACCCAGCATCCCCTGAACTTGGCAGTGCTTTTGGAAAGGTGCCCAGACAATTTACTTCCGCTTCTGATGAACGGGCTGAGGTAAGCGGTAGAGGGAATGATACGGCACCTTATGGAACGCGCCACCCAGAGCCAGAGCTTGTCAGTCCGCCAATCACACAGAATTCATCGCCAAGGTCACGGCCGTCGGTGCCTGGAAGCATAACCAATTCTCAAAATTTAGTGGATAGACCATCTAGTGCTAGACAACCAGAGACTTCTGGTTCTTCAGCAGCTAACGCAAGAAGTCCTTCTCGACAGTTCACCCGAGAGAATAACAAGGACTCTGCCTTTAAGGCGAATGCTGCGTCATCAATGTTACCTCCAAATAAGCCTCAACACCGCGCTGCTGGACCGCCGCCGATAACTCCGGTCAAGAAAAGGAAATCAGAAAGATTTGCTGCTCATAATGTATTTGACATGGCCGAAGCCGATGAGTTGAGTCTGGGCTCAGACGGTTTCGTCCTCTTATCCTCCCGACGAACAGCCAAGACTCCTTTCGAGCTTCCCGTCCGCATAAAACATGAGGATACAGTAGATACCGGATCCGGTACAGTAGCACGGAAACGAAAACTGCAGGACTTTCAAGCAAGCGACGAGATCGACGAGTTGATGGCGGACGAACCCGACTTTTCTGTCTCGCAGCTAGGGCCATCTTCAAGAACACCAAGGATAAAGAAAGAAGATGAGCCTGTGCGCGCCCCAGCTCTCTTTAAGCAAGCAAGAGCTCAGAAGCAATCTAGTCGCGGCAGCAAGAAGAGCTCTCTTCCACGCTCTGTGTTTCCTCCTGTTCCATCGCCCAGCATTCGTGCAGGCACGCCGTTACTGGATCTCACCCCGAAAAAAGTCCTAGAGATAGCGGAGTCAAACCAGGGATCTAGCTCGCCTCTGCCTGGTCTTCTGACGCCGTTGAAGTATAGGCATGCAGAGGGCCCTGCGATTGTGGTCAAGACCCCTAGTGGGACGTTCCGCAGGTGTGGCGAGGCTGGGTTTGCATGTAGGAAGTCGTTTTGTTTTCATTGTGGGTCGAATGCTGTTGGTGGTGTGCAATGAATTATGAATTAATGGTCAAGGAGAATGGATAACGGTTAGGCTTTAGGCTTTTGGTTTGTAGGACAGGTTAGCGGTGATGATACATAAAGTATACATGAAGATTTTGCATTGTTTGTTTACGAACTACCTATTGTATTTTAAAATTCGCGCCGGTGTACTGTGCATGCCTCTAGAACGGTATAATGCGCAGACAAAAATTTCTGCTATCACTAGTACCTTATATGACGAGCCAGTCAAGTGAAGCTTCTAGTGTGCTTGCATCAATGATCAATGTAGATTTCCACAATACAGAGCGTAGGTACTTGATTACAAGACTCCCCAAACATAACACCAACATCTCAACATCTCCTTACATTTACCACCAGACTAGAAGATTCCTCATAGCTAGATCTTCTCACCCACATGCCTACACCCAGCCAGCCAGCCCCAGGCATCCCATCCCAATGCTCTACATGATATTCAATCTCATACATCGCCAAGTGCAGCTCCACCTCTCGCATGCATCATATGCATATGCGTGAGGGGTTTGCTCATTATACAGTATAGGATAAGCTTACTCCGTAGTATGCATATGTAATCTTACATTGCTAAACGGCACGGGTTCCAAAGGGCGTGAGTTAGTACATGACATTACAGTACGCGCGTAATAAGTAAGAGGGTCGAGGCTAGCGACTGAATGGTACGAAGTACCGGAGATCGATCCCCCGTATTTGGGAATTACTTCGTAAGTAACTTGTTGATTAAAGTTGTCTGCAGGAGAGAGTGGAGAGGTGAGTTAGTACTACGGTATAGTACACTGCCCCAATAATGTTATTATTATTATGACTATTATAAGTGCGCCGCCAACTATTGTACAGTAGCCCTTATTTGATGTACTAGTTTAGTGGTGAGTCGTTTCTGGAAACCCTTTTTAAGTAGGTTTCACCGTAGATACGGTGGCCCTACTCGTATAGTATACCTACATATACGATAGGACGGAGTAAGAAGCACTAGTGTACATGTTCCGGGGAGTGGGACTCTAGCTAGCAACAGGGCCACGTGTATCCCTTGTGTATGACTGCCTGCCTGACTGACTGACTGACATTTAGTACATAAAGAATAGAGGGCGTACCAAGATAGTAAATACAGGCCGGCCGCGGGTTATTAAGCTTACCCCGCCTGGGTCTGTCTGCCGAGCTTGAAATAGCATAGTAGTGTTCCGTGGATCTGGGAAACGAGGTAAAGTACACTCGCCATGAGGCTGCATAAGCCCTGGCCTAGGGTATGTATATTGTGGACAAACGAGCCATAGAACCTCTCGATGAAGAGAGACTTCTTGTCCCGAACATCTTGAAATTGTACGTCGATTATTGTTGTGAGTCAGATGTACACCAGCCTTCGTCCAATTCGGATAGCTTGGAGGGGAGGAGGTGGACTACTATGCAGCCCCGTAAAATAAGGCTTAAGCATACTTCCTTGGCCTCTGATCATGAATAATATCCATTACCAACCGGATGGATGGCATAAGCAAGTTGTTCTGTCATACTTCCGCCCGGGTTATCAACCTATAATTCCTGGCTTATATGTAGCCTTGTAGCGTGGAAAGAGGAGGGTAGATGCTGCGACACCAGAGTGGCAGCGTTTGTGTTTGGGACTACCTTACCAGGCTGGGTAAAACAGCCCGCGGAAGAGTTCATGAAAGCAAGTGGAAGGTAATATTATACTTGCTGTTACTCACTCAGTCTAGGGCTGAGGAAGGTATGGAGCCGTAGCGCGGAGTCGGATGAAAGATTGCCCTTTTGGAGAGAAGAGAATGGTTTCAAAGCTGAGCGTACAAGTTTGTGGGTACTATATTCAAATTGTCTTACTTTGAATTGTATCAAGTTGTTCTAAGTTCTCGGTAGGTCCTTAGAGGTATCCTGCAAATGAGATTAAATTCCACATTGAAAAGCCTTTCATTTATAATGATTTTAGAGTGAATGGTCTAAGAGCGCCAGAGCTCCAGTTTGAGAGTCTTATTGCTCTGTTCTCGCATATCAGAATTCGTACTCTCTCCCATTTTTGAAGTGCTTGTGTAGTGGTTTCCGACTTCGGCGGCCAGTGATGTTAGATGTGAGATTTAAGGGGCGGGTTCTAGTAAAAGCCTGGTGGGCAATTTGCTTCAAGAAACTCGGCATGTCGGCATGGGTTGGTCATCGGTTCGGCTACTTGAAGTTGTGAAAGGGGCTTTCTCAAGCGGCCCGTGAGCGGCTTGCTTCCTAACCAACCTCGGCGACCAAATCACACTAGCGATGTCAAAAAGGAAAGTTAAAGGGCGTCTCGTAGGATCCACTTCCTGTTATAACATCGTGGTGGATTACATGACAAAACAGGTATTGGGTTCGGGTACTTGAAGCTGGAAAAGGGGCTTGTTAAGCGGCGGTCCGTGGGCGGGTCGCTTCTTAAATACTAAACTCACCGCCGCCTGAGTCATCCATACTCCGTAATGTGCTGCGACGACTTGTCAACAGCAAGGCGTAAGAAATTATCGGAATGTAATCAGACGGCTAACCACGGTCATCAAGGTACTGAAGATGATGTTCATTCATCACTCGATGATGCCAGAAATTTAATAGCCAATGCATATGCCACGATGTTGTAATGAGCTTGTTTCCATTACTCACACTCGAGCCATTGGCAGTGAAAATTTTCCGCATCCTCGTCGCATCTTGTGCGAGCGCATAGGAAATTAGGAAAATGAGGATTCTCGTGATCCCTAACAGCAGTTTTGGGCGAGGCTGAACGTGTACGGTGAGTAGACGCGGTTTCTGACACAGATCTTTCCTTAGCGGCCCTAGGCGGTGGATAGCTCGAGATAGCCTACAGACTCCACTGCCTTTGGAGGAAAGGCTGGCTCTGCGCAAAACAACGGACGAGACTCGAGTGAAGGTGATGATGCCGTCTTCATGCCTTTACTTACTTACGGAGTTCGGGTCTCATGCAGAAAGAAGTTGGTGTGTGTCATGCTGAGGAAGGATTTTCACCCAGGTTGTCTCTGAGGAGGGAATGCAATCCTAGTGCCAAATGGTGAAGTCAATGCCTGATCAGTATTCTTTAGGTTTATGAGTTATGAATAGGGGGATGAAGCGCCCTTGCCTCCGCAAACATAAGCTCGGGGGGTTTGGAGGGAGGGACTACATCACATGCAAGGCTTAGAAATCATACTCCGTCCAGTAGTGGAGGTCGAGGGTCGAGATATCTACTACGGTACTACCTAATGTACTGTACCTTACCTCCGTAGGTACTCCATACGAAGTAATTTTACCTGTATTCTTTTTACAGATCCCACTATTGAATAGTCACACCAACCAATCAGGAGTGAGAGAACGCCATAATGCGGGTTAGCGCTTCGAAATGGATGCATGGCTCGGTCGTTTCGCGACTTTGCCGATCCCCAAATCCTGGTCTACCTCTACCTACTCCGTTACGCCCTTCTGGCTGTTTATAGTACATGCAAGTACCTACCGCCCAAGTATTTCGTACGTGTTGGCTCCGTGACCGGGCTAGAGCCTGATGACCCGGATCCAATGTGATGGAACCAAATGAACCATGGCGTGCATGGCTTGTCCAAGTGAGTCAGGCTTTCACTATTCACACACGCCTTTCGAGAAGACTATCCATATCTGCTCATCATTCCTTCTGTACGAAGGGTGTATAAAGGTTAAATCCCCCCCCCCCCAACGCCCTTTCGGTTTTTTCCATTTGGCCATACCATATATACTTTCAATCGCATGCCAGACATTCCATAAGTCGAAACTCCCTTGCTCTCCTGTGCCACCATTATAAGGTTCCCCGCGCCCAGCCAATATATATCATCCGACACAGCCAATTGGCCTGCGCACTCTGGTTCCTTATCATCAGTTCCGAACCATCTACATCGAAGTCCAACCTTCGTGCAATTTTCTCTGTCATCTCGCAATTCTCGCATTCCATCCGTCAAGATGACTTCCTACAGAAGAGCAAGCTACGCAGCCTCCATTCAGTCTACCACTGGTTCAATCGCAAGTTATGCCAAAAGACTAGCCCAGCAGGGCCGACCAGATATGGAGATTATATTGGACGACCACATCGAGGGGAAAATCTACACAACATTTGATGCTTTATCTGGCAAGGTGGAAATCACAGCTCCATACAATGCCCGGTTCGACGAAATCCACATCACCTTGGAGGGTACTGTGAAGACTTTCGTGGATGACCTGTCACCTGAGAAGACCAAGTCCAAGACGACAGCTCTTCACAAGTTCCTAAAGTTGGTTATGCCCATCTCAGAGAATGACTACCCCCAGCCACGAGTCGCCGAGGCTGGCAGGACCTACACTTTCCCCTTCAACTTCGTTATCCCGGATCAGTTGCTTCCACGATCTTGCTCTCACACCAGCACTGCTGAGCATGTGCGCGATGCCCACCTCCAACTTCCACCAAGCATGGGAGATCGAGAGCTATCGGTCAAGGACGATATGGCACCAGAGATGAGCAAAGTTCAGTATGCTATCAAGGTTAGGGTAGTCAGGAACCAGGAGGCCAATAACAAGGACATTGTTCTTGTAGAAGGTCTCAGGAAGCTTCACATCGTACCCGCTGTTACAGAGGCACCGCCCATGAGCATTGAACCTACCGATGATGAGTTTACTCTTTCGAAGACAAAGTCATTAAAGAAGGGCATGTTCTCTGGGAAACTCGGCAAAATTACCGTCTCGGCAGCACAAACCAGCGCTCTCATTCTTCCAGCACCCTCATCCGATAGCTGCACACCTCCGACCACCATGGCTACTATGAATCTCCGATTCGATCCTCACGAAAGCTCTTCTCAACCACCACGACTTGGAGGCTTAACTACCAAGATCAAGGTTTGGACCTATTTCGCAGTTCGCCCGTCGGCAGAATTCCCCACGTACCGCAGTTCCTCCGCTATATATGAGACCTACCGAGGCGTATACGGTATCTCAATTCCTCTGTCATCTAGGTGTGTAGAGTCAGTGGTATGGACTAGGCATACCCCCTCGCCAGCATACGCTCGAAGAGACTCGGCGTCTTCAACAGAGTCTTCGGATTGTTCAGACAACGTCTACGCACCAGCGCCAAAAGAAAGTGCAGCCTACTATTCTGCAACTATTGTGGTACCAATTACCCTTCCTTCATCGAAAACTTGGGTTCCCTCCTTCCACAACTGCATTACCTCTCGGGTTTACACCATTGATCTCAACCTAACTATCCATACTCCTGGAGCAGGCGTTCCTGCATCTTCCGTCGCATTACGTATTCCAGTTCAGATTGCCGCAGCCGGAAATCACAGCCGACGAGCAACTTTAACGGTTGAGGAAGCAGCTGCTGAGCTTGCTGGTGCGGATGAATATCTGGTGCCGAGATTAATTGAGATGCCACATGAGGACCTCATTGGCAATAGTGTCTTGGCTCAGGCCGATACTTCTGAGCTTCCCCCGAGCTATGAAGATTTTGCTCTCCCGCAACAAATTGTCGGGAGGTGTTGAGCTCTTTTCAATAATTTGGATTGGTTTTCTTTGGATTTGAAAAGCGAAATGTATCTTTTTTTGCAAGGCGTTGGGGAGATGTGATGTAAAAGAATGGATTTGAGCTGTCTGCAATCGAAAGCACTTCAGAGGCACCAGTAGGACGGAACAGCAAACAAAGATACCCCATAGAATTACATAATAATAATGATTCCGAATCTCAAAGATCTAGCTACAATGAGTGATTGGATTATCATGACCTTTCTCTAGTAAGTAACCTAAGGATGCTAGGTTTAACTTGTCGAGCTACATCTTGAACAGTATAGAGATATGTTAGAATCTTTAGTAGGAAAAGGCAATATATATTTTATGACTATCTTTTATTTTCTCATCTATACTTAGAGACTGTCAGTCCTTTCCCCTGTCACTTTAGTTTCCCCCATCTCCGGATCCACTTTCTTCTCGACTACCGACAGTGACCTACTTTGCGGGAGTCCCCGCAACAAGCGCCTGGATATTGACACCCAAGTACTTTTTGACTTTGTAATGCGACACTTGTTGGCCATTCTCTCATTCTACTCCCTGCTTTGTATATACTCGAGTAGACTCATGCCTATACTATAACAAAAGAGTACCGGTTCATTATCGTAATGATAGGCCTCTCGGATTACTCCGCCTGTAAATCACGCATGGGTACAACGCTTATTTATTTTGGGCGTGCCAACTCATCCTCTGTTTGCGCCACAGACATTCACAGCATGACCTTCACAGCTGTTCATCACCACTGGCAAAGACACCGACACTTCGAACATGCAAGCTAAAAGCCGCTTGCTTTGCCTGAACTCTGTCGACGATGGCGCAACAACCAGTTGATGCGAAAGCATATTATGGGTACCTGTTTGCAGCCGACAAGAAACCCACCAAGGTACTGGACGCCCTGCTCCGAGGCATCGCAAAACATATAGTAAGTCGCAGTGTTTGCGTCAACATGCGATTATGTTCCATGCTTACACTCACTAGTCGAAAGATGTTGGGGATAAAGACGAGAAGACCCTGGTACCGGCGAAGCTGGCAAGCTTCTACAAGGCGGTGGGAGGGAATTATGATTGTACGCGGTTCCTCTATACACCTCATTCATTGAGCGAGGCTAATACAATACGTTTTGTACCGCAGCTCTTTTTGTCGAAGTACCGCATCCTTCTATATCATGGATTTATACATCTATAGGCTGCCAGCATACGCTTCAGCCTACCAGTCACGATTTCGAGCCACCATCGATACCCGCCCTTACAACACGAGGTTTCGTCCGATGGCAATCAATAGAGATTCTGCTTGGACCAGAGGAACACGTACCATTCATACAGACAGCGGTTAGGGAGTGGGCGATCAAGAACCCCGATACAGGAGAAACCTTCCCGGTCGAGCTCCCAAAAGAGGCATTTCCTCAGAAATGCGACGCGGAGATAGAGAAATGGCACAGCGAATGTGCTGCAAGGCTACGGCGACGAGCTTCCCCAGATGCTGACGATGAGTCGATGCGTCCGGATCTGCCACCGCGACCAAGAGTGCGGGTGGAAGAAGGCTACACGCATGTCCATGGCCGACCCTCAACCCGGCCTAGAGCAGGAACAGATTACTCTGAGCCCAGATCTAGAGTGACTTCAAGACCTATATCCTATTCTCACGTACCTGGTACTGGAGCCCGGCCCGTACGTCCAGTGATCTCCCGTTCGCCGAGCCATCGGGCACGCCAGTTCTTAGCTCCTGAGGAATCATCCCGTCTCTCGCGCTCACGGCGACGAAGCTACCCCGATAATCTAAATTCTCCTCCTTCCTCGCCAAACTCTACATCACCCCAAGATCTCCGGCCACCCCCTACACCTCATCATGCGCGACGGCATAGTCACCCACGGCAGGAACACCACCAAGCTAGCGTTTCGTCTGATGCCTCATCCGAAGACGATAGCCCCCAGAGTCCTAAAACTAAAGCCAACACAGGGGCGCCAAGAGGGCGCTCACATCCCCTTTCATCTCACTCATCAAATGCGGGAGATGGACCGAGTTCAAGACGCTTCGCGCCCACGGTCCCAACACCTGCAGTCCCCATACCTCCCGATCCAAGACTTCGGGGAAGAAGAGAGAGAGACGAGGAGGTGAAACGCAGGAGCTATCCCATCCCTATCGACCTGACTGGTAAACTATCTGCGCCTTTCTTACTCGGGAAACGGGATCCAGACAGGGCGTCGAGGAGTGGATCACGAGGTGGGAATAAAGTATCTTGGAAGGACTTGAGTGAAGTCCAGGATCTGTTCAAAAGGGGTAGTAAAGAATCTAGTCAGGACGAGGAGCTACCTAGACGGAGTAGAGATGATTATAGGAGACGAGATAGAGATCGTGAGCGGGACCGTGAGAGGGATTCGTTGAGGCCGAGAGATAAGCCGAGGCGCAGCAGTCATGATGATATGCCGAGGAGGGATAGGGAGCGTGATAGAGATAGAGACAGAGACCGCGAGAGGGAGCCTGTGGGGAGGGACCATAGGAGTTTTAGGGACAGGGATCGTGAGCGTAGGGCTGTGAGTCCGATTAAAGGGGTTAGTGGACGGAGATATCCCGAAGTGTCATGATTGATCATAGACGTATTAAACTCTACTCCGCAACGCCGGTAGTTCGGATATGAATCTGCACATTGCATGCAGCATACCCATTACCCTCTCCACGATCCATATATCCATCTTGTTTTTGCAACTCCAAGCGAGGCTATTTAGAGCTTTGAGCAAGAGTAGCTATAGAATAATTCCATCACCACTAAAGATATACAACCTATTACTAGAATATCTCAAAGTCGAAAAAGGGTGTTTCCAATTGTTTGTTCCCACCAAAGCCACCACCAGCGGCCTCCGAGTATGAGGCGCGTTAGTTATACCTACCTTCCATATCCAAAACCAGCATAATACTTCCCGGCAATTCTTTCATCACTCTCTCTATCCCAGACCTAAAAACTGCGCTTTCCACATTTACCTACCATATACCCAAAGTTGTCTCCAGCTATCATACATATAGATCCCTCTTCTCTTTATGCCAGTCTCGCTCATACCTTCCTTCCCTCCTCACCCCCTCCCTTTCCAAAAGAAAGAAAGAAAAAAACATAATGCTGTTATAACCAACCATTCATGCTGAATATTTTGTAGATTGTAAAACTTTACTTTCTTGGCCTGCACACTTAACACAAACCTATCCCCTCGCGTTGGCATAACCCCCTTGCTTTCTGTTAAGTAAATAAGTACCTAGATATACCTAGCTATTTTGCTCAAGTGGAGTGGGGGGGAGTTTGGATGGCCGGTTAGGCTAGTTATTTCGGAGGTTCTTGGTATTAAAATTGTGTTGAATAAGTACTTAGCTAAGTAAAAGTGCTAGATCATACTTCTACCTATTTCTCTATACGTGCCATTCTTGAAACTTATAATGCGGTGCATGATGCATTGCATGTATAAATATTTGCTTTGTTCGGAATTAGCGAGGCCATGTTGACTTACCCCTGAATGCCACTCCCTCCTTATTTCCAGTGAACAGTCAGAATATACTGCGTTGTATTAAGGTCGGAACAGTGTTTCTATCAAAGAAGGATCTGCCTATTCTTTGCAGTTATTCATGCAGCTGCTTGCTCCTATTTCATCAAGTCTTATCTGAATTATATGTGTGGGAGAAGCGCGGCCAATATCGAGGGAGGTATTATCTATTTACATACCTACGTTTAGAGGCGTCATAAGGCTATTGGCAAATATGCATGAATGAACAATGAATGACTTGGCGAGGAATACAAATATCAATTCGAGTTGTTTCGAAGTCGTTGGGTGCTGTCCTTGACAATGAAGTTGAAACGTGATGTCGAAGCTTCTACCAAATCATGGCGGGCGAAGGCGAGAAGAGCACTGACTACCTACCTACGCTTGAGCTCGATTCGGACGCATAGTGGTATTGGTGGGCGCCGCCGACCTGCTCAGTCGTAGCATGAATCCGCTTCTCTTGCTCCAACTTCTTCTTTCCTCCTATATACCCACACCCACGCACAATCCTATCGCCCATCCCGAACACCTTTCATCCCAACAACCAAACCCAACACTTGTCGGAGTACCAGAGCGCATCTCCCATCTCAACTCACCATGTCCGACACCAACGACGACGCTTGGTATACGCAGTTTGAGCCGCCCCCGTCCGAAGCAGACGAGGAGCAGGAACTAGACCCATCCCTACTGTACTCAGAAACCGATTTCCATCCCGACGACGCACCTGCATCGTTCAGAGCCCCAAAACGAACCACAGTACCACGCCGCGCGCGCAAACTGGCCTCTGCGAAGAAGCGCGCGCGGAAGGGTGGGGAGGACATGGACTCAGTCGGTGATGAATGAGATGGGATACTCAAGGTAGGCTGCTGCACGTACCGTACTACTCGCTGGTTCGAGTGTACGAGGGTAGGTAGCTTTACAGTAGGTGGGACCTTGACGTTAATTACATCTAGCTTTGGGGTTCTGAATAATACCATATCTTTCCGTACCATCTCATCAATATCCCATCTTTATCTTTGTCAATCTTCTCCATCTCATCTTTTTTATTGCTTGCTTGCTTTCTTTTTTCAAAGTCATACCATACCATACCATACCATACCATACCACCTCTCCCCGCCGCAACCAAACAAACAATGTGAAAAGATAGTAGTACGGCGAATAATGTTTTCATGACCGAGGTAGATGCGCTGAGGGATAGATAGCGGGCAATAGCTTAAGAGCCTAAAAAATGGGATGTTGTAGGCCGTGACTTCTTGTTTGAAGAGAGGTAGGCGCGAATTACTCCCTTCCTTCCAAACTTGCCCCCATCAATCTTTAAACATTTCCAAGATTCGCAAATGCGTTTAACTGCTTTATTTGCGTATTTTGATAATATTGATAGTTGATAATATCATCTCATTTCATCCGAAATGCACTTGAAACGGCTGGCTAGCCGTAAATATGCAAACTAGTCCACCCCCCACCACCTCCTTGGAAGCCGCGAAATGAAAGGAAAACACGGCAACTGCAGGTAAATAAATCATCTTGCAAGAAAAATAACTTAAGGACGGAGTTAGTAAAGGTGTGGTGATACAGCTAGCAGGCTCTAGCTGTAATCTCTTTGTGTAAGAGGAGGTGCATTGAGTGTTTTAGGCTTCACTAGAAGCTGCTGGGAGTATTAAGCAAGGGGTTGAAATCCAAGCTCGCGAAGCGGGAAAGAAGTTGATGGATAAAAATACAGTTAGTCAGTTGTTCCTGTATCTGCGCTTGATATTCTTACACTTCACGAAACTCGAGTCCTGGCACTCGCCGATCAGAAATAGCCAAGTTCACGTTCAATCTGATTAGTAAATATTACCCCCCAAGCTTAGAATGAAGAGAAATGCATATGTATATGCATTGAGTAATGCTACTTAATTGCCACCACCCATGTACTTTCCCTGTCGCACCGAATGCAACTTCGAGACCACGCTGAAAGCAAAGAACACAATGAAAGGGCCCGCCCCAACGCCAAAATTTATTGTAAAACAAGAGCTCATGTCTTCTACCAATCTCCCGCTAAGAACTTAGGAAAAGTTGGTTGCTATACATGGGACTCTGCATTGCGTAATCCGCTGGGGCCCTTGTGCCCTCTTCGTCCCAGTAAGGTTGCGCCGTCGAGGTTCAATTCGAAAGCACCCTTCTTGTTCCTGACCTGTTGTTTCGCTGCTGCAGTTACCGCGGGACTGTGTTGTCCATAACCCTTCTGTGGTGCCTTTCCAAGGTTTGTGTTCTGGAGCTTTTGTTCTACTTGGCTCACATCTGTATCCCCAGCCTTTGGTACCTTGGCCGGGATGGTCTCTCCGTCCTCTTCTTCTTCTTCAAAGTCTTCATCGTCATCGATCGGGTTGAGTCCATTCATCGCAGCAGCGCCACGGTAACCTTGTTTGAAGTTCTTGCGACGCTTGCTTTCCTCTTCCTGTCTATGTACGGCATATCCGACATCGAACACCTCACGCAAATTGACTGCGCCTGGGCTTCGAAAATCCATTCGCTTGCCTGCACCTGGGGATTCTAGTAGACTGGGATCAAATGCTCTCAATTGACCACCGGGTCCTAATTGTCTGTCGCGTTCTACAGCAGGGGTAGCAAGTGGTGGTGCATCGTGAGCAGCGAATGTTGGTTCCTCGGCTTCTCGAATCCATGGGTGTGCTAGGAATTGTTTGATATCGTATCTCTTGACGGGGTCGACGGTTAGGAGATGAGAGACAAGATCCTGAGCAGGCTTGGAAATATCGTCCCACCATGGCGAAAGGAAGGTATACTGGCCTCTAGCGACCTTCTCGGTCAGTACTGAGATGCTCTCGTCGTAGAAAGGTGGGAAGCCACAAAGCAGTGTATAGAGTACACAGCCCATGGCCCACATATCGACACTCTTGGAGTATCGCTCGTCCTTCACGATTTCTGGTGCTGTGTAACCGACAGTACCACAGGGCGTCATCGTTTCCTTATCCCACACAACCTTACTAAGGCCAAAATCGGCGATCTTGATCTGACCAATACCTCCGCCGCCTACGCCTTTGATGAACTCTCCCTCGTCTACTTTGTCTTCATCTTCAGAGGACTTCGGTTTCGGGTTTTTTGCTGGAATGAAGGGGATCGGCGAGAATAATAAGTTTTCCGGCTTGATATCCCTGTGATGACGTCAGTGAGGGTGTGCAAGATATATTACTGTGAGACATACCTGTGCACAACACCCTTCTCTTCATGCAGGTATTCCAGCGCGTTTGCAACCTGGGTGATGACATGTCTCGATAAATCCTCGCTGAAATAAGTGAGACGAACGATTTGATGGAAAAGTTCTCCACCAGGGGCCAATTCTAGAATAATAAAGTAGTGTTGCTTCGATTCGTCAAAGTCAATGAGCTGGACAATATTGGGATGCTCCAGCTGACGCATAATTTGAACTTCTTTCAAGATATTTGCTCTCTATTTTGAAGGATAATTGTTAGTATGATACGGTAAATAACTGGATGTAATTATTCAAAGGAGAGAAAAAACCCGGCATTGCCAGGTAATGAAAAGTAATGCGCACCTCCACTACCTTTGGTTGCTTCTTGAAATCCGGATGAAGCGCCGCATTCCCCTATTAGGACCCACGTTGGCAAATGTTTATGAGAATTGAAAGTTCAGAAGAAGAGATGCGGCCTTGACCAATACTTACCTGATTCGAATTCATCTCGAATTTGCGAACGACTTTGATGGCGACTTCTCCGGCGTCTCCCTGTAGATCTCTTGCTCTGTAGACATTACTGAAGGCGCCGTCGCCCATCTTCTCCAGCAGCTCCCATCGCTCGAGACCAGGGTATTTAGGGAGCTTTGATTTGTTTGCGTTCTCCTCGTCCACGAGTCTCTTGATCTCGGTAGCATCGACCTTTTTGCTTTTGCCCGCCTTCTGGTGATTTCCTGCAGCGTGGGCTGCGACGTTGCCGGCTTGAGCGCCTCTATTCCTTCCGTCTACATCGGCCGTGGAGTATGCATCGCCGTGGGGAACTTGATGTGCTTGGTGGGCCATGTTTGGGTCTGAGTTGGCGTATCGGTTTTTGGGAGGAGACGCATAATCGTTGTGATGCGGCGTCACATTGGTTGGAGATTCTTGTGGTTGCGCGGTTCGCCCTTGCTTTCCTGCGTGAAATATTCAAGTTAGCCGGTGAATGATTAAAAGCGGAGAGAGGTGGTTGTTTTGCTCGGCGTCCGGCGGGGTATGTAGGTCGCAGGAAGTTGGAGGTGGGGTGGGGGGGGGGGAAGTTGATTACATACCATGGCGGATGAGATTCTTTATTGACTGTGATAGAGACATGGTTAGAAGGGGAAGCTCTTCAGATACAGATCAGATCTCGCAGGGCGTCGGGCTCGGGGGGGAGAGATGCGATGCGTAAGACAAGGACCCAGAATGGAAGGGACGGTGATGAAAACGAAGACACAAGAGGGCAGAGTGGAGTGAAGTGGAGTGGGAATGAATGGCGGAGGTAGGCACAGTAAGCGAAGTCCAGTATGAAGTATTGAAAATGGAAGATCCTGGCAAAACACCCTTCGACGTGATCGACAACCAGACTGCAGATCGCGATTCTTTCTTTCGAATGCAATTGAAAGGACGAAGGACAAGTAGGTAGGGTTTGAGAGAGAGAGGATATAATGGCACAGTACAAGTATAGTAACTACGAGTCACCAGATGATGCAGCAGCTTGGAGCGAATCCTGCTAGCGCGTTGGAAGGAATTGCTAAGCAGGGTCCAAACGGAAGGGAGGGAGCTCAAGCAACGTCATAACAAGATGGTCCTCGTCATGGAGGGCCAGAGCTCTAAACGAACTGGACAGCATGGGATGGCAGGGAAGGGAAGGGAAGGGAAGGGAAGGGAAGGGTTCATCATTATTGATTGGGTTGATTGGATTAGAAGGGATTGGATTGTCAGGAAAAGGGGAGGGAAATGCATGTCGGGACATACCCATACCTAGTGTTTCCTTGCAAGTCCAGTGCCCAATGCGAATCTACGGAGGCAGTATCCGGTTTGCAACTTTGCATGCTGTCCACAGGATTCATTTCACCCGTTATCACTGGAGTCAGCCATTACATAGGCCCAACGCACGATGATGCCTGGGACGATGGGATGGATGGTCCTGGAATGAAGATTACCACGCAGCTGCATGTCTACTTCCTTTGTACTATACTTTGCACAGCGAAACAGATCAAGTAACTTCATCTAACTTCATCCAGGACCTGCGACGAGGGTGTACGCACCATACAGGGAATCTTAATTGGAATTCTACTCACATGGAACATGATGTTAATATGCCACCGTCAGGCATACGCTGCTGGAGTCAGGCATCGTCGATGATGGCGTTTTTAATAAACTCTCCTCCGTTTAAGCAGTCAAGCCTAAGTTCTATGTGGGGGGAAGCTGGCTTCGTCTGGCCTTCGTCTGGCTCTCGTCCGGTCCTGTGTTTGTTTGAAGAAGCGAAAAATGCGAGGATATGATTCTTCGATTTCGAGTGAGATATTAGAGAAGGGTTTGACAGCTTTTAATCAAATGTGTTCTCCCTACCTTAAGTACTGCACCACGGCTAGTCCGGCCTTCTATTCCAGCTAATAGTTTCTGGTTCCAGGCGAATCCACCTGCGCCTTCTTTCAACCATATGGCTCAATGTGCCGAGACAAACATACTATACAGACTATAGTAATAAGTACTATTAGATATCCAAGATAATCTGGGAGAGTTAGTACGGTACTACCTGTCAACTAACCACCTATCTCAGCCACGTTTCAGACATTTATGATCTACACAGCTAACTCTCCTCCTCCGTCACCAACCCCACACAGCCTGGCGGTACAAATCTCCATTCCAGGGAAATAGTTAACGCTCCCCGCCTTGCTTATCTACCATGATTTCTTGGTATTTTTCTGCCAGGTTTGCCTATAGTAAGTACAGCACCTACCAAAATCATATCTCATCTCATTCGACACGAATCTAAGTTTAGAATGCTACCTACTCTAGCCATATGATTCTTTACTCTTTATTCATTAATCCGTCCATTCATACCTTCCTAACATTTCTTACAAAAGCGACAAGGAAACGAAAGTCTTGATCGCCATACTCTATACACGGTTCAAAAAGCACCTGCTTAGCTACGTCATAAGTTCTGCTCCGCCGGAACCCTGCATAGCAGACCCTGAAAATCAGCTACAGTAGCTCGCCTCCTCGCCCACCTGTTGCACCCCGTCCGTCCAGTTGGAGGCGGAGTTCCCGCGGGTGATATATCACGATTCCTCCTCTTGCTTAAAACTGCTTTATTATTATTTCCTTATTGATCCGTTTGGATTAGAGCCGTTATTCAGCTCTCTCAAGAGGCCTTCAATGGGACCTCCCGGATACAATTCGTCTCGCGGAATAGTAACTAATTTAGTCAGATGTCTTAGCCGCATGGCATGGCATGATATCTGTACTGTACTACTGTATAGCAGGCTTCCGCAACGCAAGATCTTAGTAATAATTAAAAACTGTACTCCCGAACGCGCCAACACTTTCTTTCTAGCTTATAAGGCACAATGTTACTGGTCTCAGGACTAAATGGTTTAGATTCTTCGGATCTCTAGTAATAGATTGGAACCCAAAATACCGCGAATCTTCATTCATGCTTTCTATTATTATAATGCTATGCTATTGTTCAAAACATACTCATGACTAAGGCGAGAGAAGAGTAGTGTCGGTTTACACATAGTGCACTGGTCTGGCCTAGATTCGTGTACTTGGTGGTTGCATTTCTAGGTGTAGAAGAGGTTCTAGCTAAGGTTGCGGCGATGAGGGGAAGGCCTCGCTCGTCGCTGCTTAGTCATCGAAGCTAAGGTCATGTGGTACACGTGACATATATCCCAACATATATATATATATTACCTGCAATACGAACGAACTATACGAGTTTAGTTGCAATCAGGAAACCAAGCAAGTCACATCTACCATGTTTCAATCGCGCGAGAAGTAGGATGCCGGTGTCCGACTTTCACTTGGAAGACAAATTGATTACTGACAGCTGAAACTTTTCATACCAACTGTATTTGAATTCCGTGTGCTAAACAGGAAACCCATGTGCCTGCCCGCCGAGGCAAACAAACATATTTGGAGGTTTGGGTATACATGCATGCATGCATTCACTTACTTACTGATGACCTCATGATCCTCATCTATACATATAACTTGCTCAGCAAAGAAACGCTATTCTGCTTCTCTATAAAAGCAAAGGTTCATAGAATCGATACACGCAGCCTAGAGCGAGCCTGAAACGGACGAGTCGAGGCTCCCAAGCAACTCGCATGATGTAGAACTACGCTGGTTGTTATTGTCAAGACCAAGTAAGTATCGAGATAAGCACCAAAACAGAGCATGAACCACTACACCCCTTACATCCTATCATACAAACATCTCCCGACCGAGAATCATGCTTGACAGAAGCATTATTCTACTTTGACTTCTGCAAATTGTTTTTACATCTACTGTAAAAGTAGGCTAATTAGGAAGGAATATGCAGCTCGCAACTCGTGCGCAACAAGCAATAAGCTAAAACTAGATCAAAGCGATGCCGTGGCTGAAGTAACGTCCATCTTGATAATATTGTCGAGGAGAGGTTGTAGAGAGATACTCAGAATTAAAGGAAGAGGTGAGGGGGGTAGAGGGTTTAAATACTTGATGAACATGAGGGGATGGATATGTTTGGGAAAGAAAGGTGTGGTGAATGACGGGTTGGTGAGTGAGTGAATTTCAGGCTGTTGGAATCTGTCGGGGCAAGTAAGTATCTGTGCAAGATAGTAATAAGAGGTAAGGCATGCAGACATGAAGTATGTAGTTGTGGAGTTTGTATTGGAAAAATACTTAATTTTGACTTCACTTAAAGTCAGAGCCCATTCAAAATTGAGCGCACGGGCGTCAAGAAGTGCACTGTACTTTGTAAAGAGCGGTAGAAATGGAAACAGACCAGCAATCTCTTGATTGGTTGCGTAGAACTATAACTGCATTTAAGAGCGCGACATGGTAATCATTGAGGGCTTAGTACTTCGTTCAACGTATAATAAACCGATAGCCGTAGCATAAGAAATAGAGGACATGCTCCCTAGCAAGGACGCCGCCATGACCCAAAATGTAAATAATCGCTGCAAAAAATCATCATACCCCCGTGAAACAAAAGCAACTAGATCAGACCAGCACGAGCAGCTTCTCCTCCGCCCTCTTCGAGCACCTCTTCCATACGGGCTTTGCCTCGACCAATACCGCCCTCACCAACCCCCATTCTCCTCGCTACGTATCGTTGTGCCACAATCCCTACGCCTAAGCTTAGCAGCTCTTCCACCCATTCAGCGACCCATTCCCTAGGATCAACACCGCCACTCTCAATAATCTCAGCGATTTCCTCAGGTAAGTTGGGGTTAGGGACTGGCTCGCCGTCTCGTCCGAAGAAGCTGGTCTTTTGATGGGTAGGTGAGGTAGATGAAGCAGGTGTCAAGGGAGATGGAGCATCGAGCCATCTAATCCACTTTGCGGGAATGGATTGGGTGACAGTGTGGAAGGTGATGCTGTGCACAGGATCATGCAAGTATAGCGCAAAGGAAACAAGCTCATCAGGCGTATCTTTCTCCTGCACAGCACTCTCCTCTTCCTTCTCCTTAGCCGGGCCCTGGAACAGATCCTCGGGCGCATCGTGTGAAATTGCTTGTACGGCCAAGAAGATATCGCTGCTTCGGACTGGATTCGATTCGCTGAGGTTCTCTGTTGCGCGCTGCGCAGCTAATTCGAGTCCACCGTGCGAGGTAAAATACTCGTTGGAATATGCTTCGGCGCTCACGCGGACGAGCTTGGTGCCTTCGATGAGACCTTTCACGGATCCTAGATCACGATGCTCACCATGTTGTCTCCACCACGGGCCATCGCTCCAGCCACCACTGCCTCCTGTATAACCGGCTTCTGAATTGCGGCGTGCTGTTGCCTCGTGGCCGCGTTGAATGACGAGAAGATCCCCGCCTTCTACTTGGGCCATGACGCGGGAGAAGGTCGAGTATATAAGGGGATCGAGGGAAGGATAGCCGATGAAGTCATGAGTGATGTGGATTTGAAGTCGCTCATGGGACGAAATGGGAGGGGCAAGTGTATGAAGGATGTTTGTAAACGTTGGTAGTGCTCGGGAGCGAAGTTCACCACCTGGGGGGATTAGCAGATGAGATTGAGGCCATTTACATTAACTTACCGAGGCCTCTAAGAGCCCCAACATTTCCTTTCACTTGTTCAGCCCACCGCTTCGCCTCTTCATTCTGTTGGATCTCCTTGACTGCAGCTTCGGCTGTCTTGACTGCAGCACTTGCTGTTGCGAAAATGCCTCCCCACCAGCCACCACCGGCTTCAACAGGAGCAACCTCTGCTGGCTGAGCAACTGGGTGCTTCTTCTCCGCTTCTTGGAGATCGCTGCTCGTAGCTGAAGGTGTAAAGCTGGTATGGAAAGATCGAGTGCTATCAACCGACTTTCTGGCTGCCGAGGCCTTCTCCTCACTCGTCCGTGTTGAACCAGCAGGTGGTGGTGTAGCTGTATTGGTGCGTCTAATAGACTGGACGCGAGGAGTATGAGGCCTACTTGGGGCCTTTTGAGCTCCGAGATTCTCGAGTTCGTCCAGCAAGTCCAGCTCTGATTGAGCGGAAGCTGTCTTTGCGGCCTTGGAAGCTCCCTTGGAGGTAGCTTGGGCCTTGACTTCGTCCTCACCAAGTCCTTCCAGGAGCTTGTTCAAGTCGTCGTCAGAAGGGGCGACCTTGGACTTTTTGGTGGCCATATTGACGACGATTGTTCAGTGGATTTAGGATTTTGATATTGTATTATTCAAGTGTTGTTTGCATATGGTCGGTCGGTCTAAAGTGGTCTAATATTGTGGGGGTATTCGATGCAGCTTGTTTCGGCGCTAAGGATGAGGCTGGGCGGTGATTGGTGTCGTGGCATGCTGCACAGGACAGGACAGCACAGGCACAGGACACAGGACGCTAAAGCCCCAGACCAGAGAACTGAACCGTACTGACTGTAAGAAAAGAAAGAGTATTCACTCTGGCCGACAACAATAACAGCTCCCGTATCTTATACTGCCCCGGGTCAATTTATTGTTTGCTGCTACTTCTTGCTCAAACTCTCCATTCATACCTACATACTCCACTTTCCCGTCGTCCCGTTGCCTCTTCCCCATCTGGGCCCTTTCTACAAACTCTTTGCATATACGCACTTGTCGTGAGACAAACGGTGTCCATTTTACAAATCACCCCACATCGCCATCTACACTTTCCTACCCTAATCAGCGCCCTGGAAAAAGTCTCCAGCATCATCTTACATTATGGCAAGAATCAAGACCCGGCCTACTACTGCACATGACTCTCCGGAGACTTTGGAGGCTGGGACATCAATCAATGCAAATTTCTCGACCAAGACCCCTTTAGAATCAGTCTCTTCTTCTACAGCCTCGTCGATATGTCTGCATTGTCGTGGTACATTTTCAGGCTTGTCGACTAAGGTTTGTTTGTTCTTCTGCGTCCCCGTTCGCAATCGCTGCTGGGCTCATCCATTGACTTAATACTACAGGATTTCCGCCATCACGTGAATTCATGCACTCGACCCAGCACTGCAATCACATATGATAATGATGATGACAGTTCACGCAGTTCTTCACTGACTCCACCACCTGACTCTCCCTCAGTCGCGGCATTTAATAACAATACTATTACTGTTGACGCCTCAAGACTGCTGGGTGGAAAACATTCGTCTCGTGTTACATCCATCGAGGTCAACGGCCATTCTCCGGCAAATGGCTTTCTTCATAAGGACAATCTCGACCACGCCATTCGTGCTTATAGTAATCCAGAGACGGAATTTGCTTATTATGACAAGGTCGACGATCGAGAAACGTCGATTGCGACCCGCAGAAACTCCGAGGAGCCGGAAGACTCAAAATCTTCCGCCGATCCCGTCCCTGAAGGTCTCAATGAAGACAAAACCGACGTTAAGATTCGATACCCTTTTCCTAAATTCACTCCTCTCGACGTCTTCGAAAATTATCTTGGGTGTCATGAAGATCTACCTTACGAGGACCTCTATCGTCGGACATCCAACGTGACCGTCGTCCTTGTCGACTATCAAAAGGAATGGGAAACTATTGGAAAGGAGATTGATGACCATGAGGCATACACAAAAGCACAGACCAAGATTGCCGCAGATAGGACAAAGGCAATTGAAGAGGAGAAAACGAAAGCGGAAGATCAGAAATACCTTGAGATTGGCCAAACCTACAAAACGGAGCTCAGACTTAGCAGAAGTGACTGGGATAGATGGCTGGAAGAGCAGCAAGCCCTCTTTCCCGATCAGAGCGACATACATGAATGTCTTCGAAATCTCAGAAACCCTACTTTCTTGCAGGGAGTGCACAAGCGACAGAAAGTATCGAAAGCGGATAATATCGATTTGGCGAACAAACCCATCCTTCAAGAGAGAGTTACCAAAGAGGAAGTTGCTGTGGAGAAACGCAAGAGATATGGAAAGCTTTTAGACCAAACCACTTTTGATGACATGAAGCATGCTGATGCCTACGGATTCAATTATTCTTCGCAGCTACACCATGTTGGCAATCAGCCACAGCCATATCTAAACGATAAAGTAAAAGCCAGAGGCCCTGTTTTCGAAGAGGGTCGTGGTGGTCGGAGTCAGCGGACCGTCGCAAAGAGATCATATGATGCTGACAAAAGTGTCACGCCTGAAACGGACGAAGAGGAACTACCCGCAAAACGTGCACGTAAGGCTAGGAACCTTGATGCTACTCTCGACTTTCAGGCGCGGCCACGAACATCACCGCAGGGCCACGGTGGGACACCAGCGGTCAGAGTATTTCCCTCTGGAAAGCGGGTTGGTCGACCACCAACGAAGTCAAAGCTCAAGGAGTTCCAGATCCCACCGCCATCTACGAGCCCCACTTTGGAAATTGGTACAGCTCCCCGAAAACTTGCACCAAGGCAAGAGGAAGCGCTTCACGAATCTGTTGAAAACCTCGTCAATCATGTTCAACCACGCCGTACACGTGGCAAATCTACAGGGTTTGACGACTCGTCGAAATCCACCTCAGCGGCAACTTCTCGACCATCGACTTCGTCTTCCCATGAACAAAGGGGAAGAAAGCTTGAATCTAATAACACTGAGCCAGACACTCTAGTCGTCGAAGGTCCCCCTTCAGTCACGCCTCTTCCTCCTCTCGTTGCTACTAAGAGCAGGAAACGGAAGGTCAAGGAAGAGGAGATTGATGAATCACTTCTAGATGCAGAGCAACTCGAGGCCCTTCGTAAGAAACGAATAAAGTCTCATAAACTCTCTGAAAGCCTTAGGAAGCGATGGGAGAAGGGAGAAATGGCCACTGCAATGGAGAGTAGGAAGGCTACGAATGCCAAGAAGAAGGCCGCCAAGTTGGAGGCTAAACAAGTACAAGAGGGGGCAGTAGGAGGCTACCAGCAGCCATTTTCAATGCCTTCAGCCATTGTCCCAAATAACTACCCCATACAGCACCCAGCACATGGTCACCCGCCAGTACAAGAACAGTTTCAATTGCAATCTCAGGCCCCCGCACCAATACTACCACAACCAGAAACACCAATTCCGACCCCAACGGACCCCGGGCCCTCAAAACGCAACAAACCATCAAGTTCGCGCAAAACATCAGCAGCAAAGGGTAAAAAAACCGCTGCCATACAAACCCCCGCACTACCACCAGCCAGAGGTCCAAGCAAACGAGCCCGGCGCCCAACACAACTCATTCTCGACTCTAACGAAATGGATGATGACGATGACGATGATGACGACGAAGATGAAGAGCTGAAGATGCAGTTCAGGCGCGAGAGCGAATACGACCGATACCAAGCCTTAACATCCCCGGGCAGTCCCATGAAATTGGGCAAACGACTTCGCAAGAACAGGATGGATCTCACGCAGGCAATGGACTCGCCGGAGGACGATGATGATAACTACTCTTCTTAGAAGGCGGGGCAGCATATCAATCAGAGGCCATTGAGCGAGCGCATTAACTTTCAGACTCCAAGGCATTTGGGAACGCGTGCACGCCAGTGCGAAATTGATCGCGAGCTGGTGATGTATCCTTCTAATGATCAAGAAAACGATAATTGGGAATCGAGGAAACTCACAACCTTCCAAAACGTCTCATCGCCGGTCTACGCCGCGAAGCGGGTCCGCAAGCCGCGGATGGATCTTTGGTAACGGCAATTGGGTTAAGAATAATAGGAAAATGGGACAGTGATAGACATAGGGATGGTAGGCAGGGAGGATGAAGCGAGGAAGTGGAACGGCTAGGTGGACATGTATAGATCATAGTATCTTCAATGGATTCGGCATACGGTAGCACCAGGTGGGGTCTGCATTAACATGAGCGAGATATTAATATTATTTCAAATTTATGATTCGAATATATCAAAAAATCTTTTACCTCGCCTTCAGTGACTTTCCTCGTAGGCCACAGAATTTGACTTAAATCTTGATCTTCAATAGAAAGGAATATGCTCGTGCTTCGTTCTGTCTCGCAAGCCGCCTACTCAAGTGTGCGACAGAGCAATGCATTGCATTTAGATGCAGCTTTTCACAGTTATAGTAGTGTTCTACCCAGGCTCACGGTGGTCATAAAAAACGGCACCAATCTATCATGTGTCTGGTAGAAGAGGACATTGCACTATTTTAATTTCGATTCATCTCACCTGAAGTGAGGGATGTCCCATTGAATTGAACTGAAACAGTAATTAACGTAGTTGTTCTAGTGGACAGCTCCTAAATTTTTCAATGATGTTGGACACTTGGTTACTACAGCATCATCGTCGCTGCTATGGATCTTGAATTGAGTGGGTGGCATCGCTGGAAGGCCAATGATGATGTTAATTCCATCAGATGGAGATGATGGACATGGAAGCACGACGTTGTTGTGTGAGATGACTAAGGTACTGTAATCGAAGAGCAACCCCCTGGTGAAACTCGAGATAACGATCCCGACTTGATGCCCCCCTCCTTCCCCACTTTCCAAGCAGTGTATGAAACCGTATCACCACCAGCAATGGCATGTACAAGTACATTTTCCACTCCTCTCTTATCTCCTGAATTCCCTCCCTCTAAAATCCATCCACCATGGGCGCAGATCTTACTTTCGGTCCTTCTAACCAGCAATGGCATTATTCCCCATCCTCCAAAACCTACGACCTCTCAGGCGATTCCCCCAGAAAATTAACAATTGCAGCAACTGAAGAGCCCGAAGAAACGTTCTTCACTATCTCTCCAGAAGCAACAGCGCTAGTGATTATCGACATGCAGAATTTCTTCCTCGATGCGAAATGTATGGACCATCCGAATGGACTGAAAGCCGTGGAACCAACGATAAAGATTATCTCCAAGTGCAGGGAAGCTGGTATACAGGTAGGTGCAGTGCAGCTTTCGATCCTTGTTATAACTTAAGCCTGCCTTGCGTTGCCTTACCTTCCCTTGCGTTCTCGGTTGATATATGTGGTGTGGATATTTATGTGAAACCGAACAGATCATATGGGTGAACTGGGGATTAACGGATCAAGACTTGGCTGGCATGCCTGCAGGAGTCATGAGAGGATTCATGGCGGATGTGCTACAGTGCAGTACCAAATCCATCCTCTCGTACACGGGTTTGGGCTCGGATCTGGGGGGTTCCAAGGGTCGGTGCCTCGTTTCTGGGACGTGGAATGCTGATATCTATGAGCCGCTCAAGGCACATGTCCGAGCTTCGGATCTGCACTGCGCGAAGAGTCGGATGAGTGGGTTGTGGACGCCTGAACAGCCGTTGTGGAAGACTTTGAAGGAGCGGAAGAAGAGCACGGTGATGTTTGCGGGTGTTAATACGGATCAGTGTGTCTTGGGGACGCTGGTGGATGGGTATAATGCTGTAAGTCTATTGATGGCTGATGATCAGGTGACATGTCATGTTCTCGCCAGTTTTAGTTGCACAACTTTTCACTCTAGAGGCTTTTCGAAAGTTACTAACACACCTGGTCTCCAAAGGGTTGGAACTGTATCCTGGTTGACAATTGTTGTGGCACTACTACGAAAGGAGCCAAAGAGGTTACACTTTCAAATGTCGCTGTCAGTATCCACCCGAATCCGAGTATATTTTCAATGCCCCGAATGAAGCTGACCATCGTATAGAAATGTTATGGATTTGTCACTAATAGCACAAGCTTACTCGCCGCGAATGTGGGGTGAAGATCAGATGCTGATACGAGGTTTGATAGAATAAAATTCATATTCCACCTCAAAATGTGGGTCTTGCGATCTTCATACGAAGCCGCCAGTATATACAACCCTACTTTTCGTATATTCATGAATGACGAACGGTTGATATTCCTTCCAACTGTGTCTGTCGGTATGCCGTGTGGCCCGTGATTTTCCTGTCCCTTTTTATGTACCGTAATCCAAACGCCCCTAAAAGATGAAGACAGACGCTTCCAATGACTCCGTTCCGAATGGAATCACAATGCAGTATTTACAAAGCCTTCGACCGACCCATAGATAGCGAATGGTGGGTGCTATCCCGACTTGATGGTCTCCTTTTTACATGTCCCGTAGCTAGCGCAGCAGGCGCTGGGATCTAAGATGCCTTGCAGAACTTGATCTCGGATTTCCTGTAATACTGTTAGGCTTTGGGGGGAAGGTAGAGTTTTTAATTTAAGGATACTCACGTCTGGACATGGTATTGGCTTAGCTGAAATCAGGGAGAGAGTGCTGAGGGCAAGCATGGAGAAAGCGAGCAGTGATGAAGTTGAGAAATGCATCGCGAGTATTTTTGTGTGATATGACGTTTTTCGTTTCGATTTGGATTGTTTTGATATTACTCTTCGAAGACTTGCTTGATGTGATGTGGTAGCTCTGAGACGCTGGATGTGAACGAGAGTATGGTATGTCTGAACGAGAGTGGTAGATGATAACCTTAAATCAATAATAAAGTGAGAGGGATGGTTGCGGCAAAGTCTGTCTCGAAACCAACAGGAAGCTTATGTGGAAATGAACCGAATGCAGCCCTATGGCTTAGGAGGATGCTAGGAATACTTATATGCGGAAGCCCTTCCCTCAGCCAGCCACTAGGCACCTGCCAACTTCGAAGTAAGCACCCGAACGAAGGGCATGTCTGATTCTGGAACCCGTACTGGTACCGGCACCGGTAGTCTCATTCTAAGCTCCGTATTGTTGACAGGCCTAAATTAACTACCTTGAGAACACGAGGGAGCGATTTTCAAGACGGAGGGCACTCTACCTCTGTACCGAGTAATCGTGTGGTGGCGCGTGCACGTGCTATGCCCATTGAGTCCAACCAGACGATTAAACGAACCACCAACGATGGAGATGGACGCATCCGGTGTCAAGGCAACCAGAACCGGGACCACCCATGTAAAGGTTATATTACCTACCTATCACAGCTCTGGAATTTGACGCCACAGTATGATCATCAGCCCTAGGATACTATTTTTAGATGTTTTCTTTCTCGGCTGGTGGCTGTGCGAACACCAAGATCTGCTCTCGCAATTCGCAAAGCCTTCCCAAAGAATGCTGCACGGACTAGGTAGTCAGCAAGGCATGCGCTGATTACTTTATAGAGGCTTTGTTTCGCCATTTGTTGTAACTACGGAGAGAGATACGCACCTCTAAAGACTCCTTGGCTGCTCTGGAATCTTCCGTCAGGATGATTTGGACAAACTCTCAACGCTATGATGGAATTGGAGAAGATTGAGCAAGATCCTACGGTACCTAAGGTAGCTACTCGTATAGTAATAACGCGGGGCAGGAAACAGACGATGATCCAGCCAGGACAACCATTTGTTGCTATGTAAATACGAAGTATCCACTCCATCCCAGTAACCCTTACGGGGATAATAATGGGCACGCACGACGACCTGGATTCCCAATCCGCTGGTACTTGAGATATCGTACTCGGAGTATATTTCTTCTGGTAAAACCGGTAGGGAAAATCCGTATGTTGATTGTGAGTAGAATCTCAGAGGTCCCTTGCAGCATGGAAATACATCGATGCACTTCCTGTTTTACTTTAATCATCGTTCCATCCTTCTTTTACCTTCAATCGTCATTCGCCAATAGTTGGGATGAACTATTTCTCTAGATTAAGCATAAGTGGAAGGAGGAGATTAGTGGATCAGAGGAGCTACTCTGAAGTACCTTGGTGCATCCCGCTGGATTACCCTAGCTTGGCACTGGATCAAGATCCAGGCACCCAACAAAATTTTGTAATGTCGATGGTTTATTGATTCATTTTTCTATTTCTCTTCTGTGTCTCTTTCTAATCTCAAAATGATTCAAATTTCAGAGGTCAATGTATGCTTCACGTGACCATCCAATGAGATGGCAATTGTCACGTTTTCATTTACTGGTGTAGTCAGGCAATATATAATTTCTGTCTGCAGTCCTATAAAAATCGGTCTTCCTATTTCGATTTGTTCTTAAACTGTGAGAGATTTTAGAGCCGCCGAAACCTTGAGTTTACGAGATATTAGATACATAACCAGAGGTAAGTTGCGATATCGTAGTCCATATAGTACTATGCCGCTACGTCAAGCAGTATTCGCCTCTACAATTTCTTGGTGACCAAAAGTTGAGTTCATTTCAGTCGCGCAGAGTAGCCCCAATCCGCGTCCGATTATGTGAAAATGAAAATTCATCATCAAGGACTTGTATGAAATCATGAAGTACACCTTGACGGTTACCACGCCCGTCTTCGCCCTTAGTGCGGAATTACTATTGAAGCATAAAGGGCGGGTATCCCTTAGTATCCTGGTGGGGATTAGGGGAGGAGACCAGACATTGGATTACATTGCCCTCGCCGCCGAATAGATTAAGCTCTAACTGATCTTCCCGCTGGTTGGCCTGAGGTGGAATCAAATAAGCTGCAATGGCAACTTGGCGGGGAAATATAGAACATGGATTGAGGAAAGAAGGAGTGCCCTGGCAAAATACAACATGGAAAAAAGGGATGACGGAAAATCCCATACGAAGAAGTTCAATCCGTAGCAATTCTTCAAAACACCGAGATTCTTGTGGAAACTTTTGTCAACCCGGGAAATACCCCTTCTATCTAACTCCCCTCCACACATTTTATCTCCCATCGCCAACCGTCCCTCTCCTTATCCAGCCAGTCCCCCATTCTACACGACAGCAATGCACTCAATCTCAACCGGCACCCCCTTTGGCAACTGATAGACAGCCACACAACTCCTAGCCGGCTTATGCGCAAACGCCTTCTCATACACCCCATTCATCTCCACGAAGTTATCCATGCTTGTCAGGAACACATTCACCTTGACGACTTTCTGCAGCGACGAGCCGGCTGCCGTCAGCACCGCGGATAGGTTCTGGATGCAGAGCTCGGTCATCTGCGCGATGCTCGACGTGGGTTGCGTTAGGATTTCGCCGGAGGAAGTGCAGGGAATTTGGCCGCTGCAGTAGATTGTGGATGGGGTTGCTATGGCGTGGCTCTGGGTTGCGAGTTAGGGGGTTTATGAGGAAGGGGAGCGGATGGCATGGAGGGAGCGTACGTATGGGCCTGCTGCTTGGGGGTTGTTAGATAGGTATGCGCAGGATGGGTGTGGGGGGTCGCAGCTTACGAGGAGCAGCATCTTTGGAAAAGACGGTTTTGAAGTCTGACATTTTGAATGTGAGATGTGAAGCTTCAAATGAGGGGTGGAAGTATATTGCGTGTTATCTTTGCAATTGAACTTTTTTTGCTCCTCAAGCTCGTTGGTGGGGTGAGTTTTGAGTAGCCGGTCGCGGGCGCGGGGTCATTCTTCTACGGCGGCCGAGATTTCCTGCTCCACCACTTCTGCTCCATGACTTTATTAGACGAGAGCCGTCTTAACGTCAACCTAAGAAACAGAATCCAGATAACTCGACAACGACAAGTCCTACGCACTCCAAAACACGATACCTCGCATCTCGGCCCAAAATTATGGCGGAATACCCGGTCGGACCTTTTGTTCAACGCCTGTTCCGCCCAGTCGCCGTTTCCAGCGAACCTTTGGGGCTATCTAACCCTGGCCTGCCTACCTCTGACGAAACTACCACGAAATCCACAGCGTGCATACTGGGGCTGGGGTCACAACATGGTTAGAATGAGGTCTGGTATATTGGTCGATTCCTATGATATAGAATATATGATAAGTTGTTAAGGATATTGCACTCATTTGCTTGGAAAATCCATCCGCCTGCGAAATCCGTTTATACCCAAAGCCGAAAGTACACCATAACATTGCAACTCAAACCCAAGGGCCACCCAGGCCAACACTGCTACATATAAGCATGAATAAACTTGTCTCGAAACAAGCGACGGACCCAAATCTGCGTTACAAAAAAATAAGTGTTCAACGATCATCAGAAAACCCAAAATCAGGCAACAACGAGTCGAGAGAATGACCTTGTGAAGTTTCTCACTTCCTATGGCCTTTCATATATGTCTGGGCAGCTTGCACTGTTCGAACGATCAGCGCTTTTTCGACAGCATCACTCAGTTTTGTCGTACTCTGGACACTCATCTTGGAGAACGGCTTGCCTTGGTGGTCATGAAGATATTCATATCCATGGCAAGCTACATTGTTACAGTCACAAAAATACTTCTGGCTGATATCCTCCAAGTCTGGAGTTAATAGCCGGGCTGGTCTTGGGGTCGGAGGTGGACCCTGTCTCCTTGGTGCTTCTGGGACCGCAGGAAGAATGTTCAAAGGCTGACGGTGTTGCTCGAAATCCCTCTTTGACGAAATGTTGGCCGGTGACAGGCTCCTGAAGGACTCACTTGAAGTGTTTGGACCGAGATGGTAGGGCGATTTCAAGCCCGTCGATTCATTTCTTATGGTCCCGTGATCACGTTGAGTTGGAACGTGGGTCGATTGAGACGGCTTGTCTCTACTAGCAGAAGTGTTTGCTAGTGTTGGGGTTAGGTGACCTGGAGCTGGTAGTCGCCGGGATGTCGGATCAATCAGTCTCGAGGTGTTTGCCGGGACTGTTGATCGTGCTCTAACGCTACCACTAGCTGATGCTTTGAGAGCCAGCTTGGACATTGATGCAGGGCGTATCGGTGAATCAGGCCTGGGGACAGGTGACGGTGTTTCACGTGGTTTTCGTTGACTGTCTGCAGCATTTGGAGCGAAGCGAACCCTTTTTCCATGGCCACTCCGATGATTCTTCGAAAAGGCCGATGGAATCGATGATGCCTGTCGAGACGTTGACAGATATTCATGTTTTGGGATGGCAGGATTGGCGAGCTGCTGAAACCTGATATCGTGACCCATGTATCCTGGAGGGGCCATGGCTACTAACAAGTGTGGACGCTCGAAAAAAATTCTCGTTGTGTTGTTAGTCGAGATCTCCATCGACATTGATGTTCAAGGTTGATGAAATGATGGTTTTTAACGATGGAATCGATGAATTCCACACTGAGAGTGGTGAGTTGACGAAGGTGGGTGAATAGGGCAGTGCCTTGGCGCTCTGCCTTGCTCTGTCAAGCGATAACACAGATCGAGGGTACCGACAATTGCACACGTGCAGAAGTCCTCACAGGGGTCCGATAAAGTTCAACTAAGCTGGAATGGCCTTGGGAGGTATTGATATGGGGATTCGGTCGTGCTGGGAGGGTGAAGAAGAGTGTGGGAGAAAGGTGGTGGAAATCTGGGGGGTTGCGGGCTTATATGATGGGAGATGCGGAGTCCTCGGTAAGGGCCAATCAGCGCCAACGGAATTCTCTGCGGCGTGCAGGCTACCCTTTGAGAGCTAAGCGATATCACCCACCTCCCACATACCTCAGAAGCTCCCTCGCATGATTTTGAAGAAGAGCTCGTCGTCGATTAAGTATCTCTTGTATGGATCCGCCAACACTCCAGCCCCGTTGGATGGTCCTTGCGTCACACCCAGAGGTTGATATGAAGCTGTTGGCCTCGCAAACACTATTCCCTCTCCTGGGTGGCACAACGACGACGATGAGTATCGGTGTCGTTATCTAAGCTTATACAAAGAGTATTCTTGATATATCTCAGACTTGCACTTTGATGACTTGTTCACTCGCTTGATTTCTGATACCAAGTGTCCCCATTCTACCCATGTATGATGGGATTCTAATTCACATCCGTGGATATTTTCCAGGTGCAGAGGAGTCTTTCAGGTAAGATTGACTGTACTTTAACTCGGGAGGTGGTGAATAAGCATATGTTCTTGTCGTGCGCTTGGGCGGCCCTTTCAGTCAAGAGTGCCCTCCCATATATCTCAGCCAACGCTAGATTTATATTTTCTTTCCGTATGTCAAGCACTGAGTTGGTATATAGCAGTCTTTCAGGTTAGTGCTGTCCTGTTATATAACAGGTCGGATTTCAGAAAACGTCATCGTCTGACTTTTAACCTGTGTCGTAAGTAGTCACCTCAAATGAATTCTAAGCCATCATACAACTAACAAACATCCAGCAATGGTTTGGCATTATGCTGCTGTCCGGGATTGCTGTGAGTAGAAAACATCATCATGCTTATGTGCTAGGCTTGTACGAAGTACTATATATTCAGCCACGTCAGGCGATTGATTCCTTTGTTTCTCGGTGTATCCTCAATCGAAGAATCATGATTCACTCCAAAGACGTTGTCCCTGACTTGGATATTGTGCACAAGCTGTGTATGTGCATAGCCACCGTTGCGCAATCACTCATTTTGTTAGTCATCCGTCAACAGCCTTCACGAGTCACTAAAGCACTGAATTACATGCACTTAGTAAACATTTCCTCGAGTCTTAGTAGAGGCTATTATTTGTACTATCGAGGATCTATTCTGCTGTGCAACCTCATTTATCTAGTCTATAGGTTCCGGCACCTGAACATTCTTTGCCACCAAGCCATGCACCCGAGCGGCACGGCCCAGTCTCACTTCACGCAAAATTTGGCGCTACGCTCGATACAGAAGTTGGTATCCTTTCTCGACAACCCGTTTGCTCTGGCCAATTATAATTACGAAGAATCAACCAACACCTGGGTGATAATGCCGTATGTGATTTTCTGACGACTTCGTGGTGGAACAGCTATCTTGTTATTTTGTTATTTGTTATTTATAATACTTCTTATTGCAAGGCTTGTTCTCGCATCTCTTGATCAAATACATGCTCATGAGGTGGAATCATCTTAGCAGAAATCAAACTTAGCGAGCGAGGGCGAAGTCGCAAGGCGACGTACTCATATCATTTACTGTGAAGACAAGAGTTGGCCAGTGCTATTCTATCTAGATCTTGGCCAACAGATTATTTTGGCCAGTTCCAAGCACTGCATGCCTCCTTTCTCCCCATCTAGATTCCTGTAGAGTCTTTCAAACATAGAATAAGTCCAAAAATGTTCAAAATCCCTAGACACAGACTCACATTCAAGACTACGGCGCAAACGTTGAGATGAGGCAGAACAAGTCAAAACACGTGATGGCGTTTGTACCTCTCTACTCCGTACAGGGACGGATTCGCGACTGACGATCAATCAAAACCACCACTTTGAAGGTAGGTTCTAAGCAATAGGGAAGGTTCATGCGGAACGTAGCATTCTTAGTATGCATAGCTCTTGCCTAACGTTTCCTTCAATTCAAGCTTCACGAAATCATGACCTCTGGAAAGTTATCTGAGGACTTCTGAAGAAAATTGCCGCAACCAATGAAGTTAAGACTAAAAATAACGGACAGTGCTGTCATGAAAACATTAAAGCCAATAACGAAAATAATGATGGAAATCTGAGGGAAGATCGAATGACTTTCGAGAAGGGGGTAAGTGCTTCCTCGCTTGTTAGCGTGATACTAATCACTCCTTTCTTTCCTTTTCGGTCAAGAACAAGCTCGCCTAAGTTTAGAGAGAGTACCTAGGTAGCAAACACGCTTCTTATTACCTAGGTAGATAGGTATGTAATAAGCCAGAAAGAGTCTCTGGGGTCTAGCTCACGGCCAGTTCACTCTCAAGGTACTGCAGTCAGCCATCCGTCAATACCCCGTGCTTTCTCGCCCCTTTTCTTCCTACAGTCCGCAACGGCAATCAGCAATTCCGCATTGGCACCACCACCCTCAGCCAATGACCTATGAATGCCAGTCCATCACGTCATGAGGATGCGTTGTTACATACAGGCTCACATGAGTGCCATAGACTCGCAAGGGTCAAGTGATCTCCAGTCGCTCAGGGGCCGTAGAGCAGGTCTATGGTAGAGGAATAGTTGGCCTCATACTCCATAGATCCCAAATTATCTTCTTAAGTCAGTCTATCACAAATTTCTTAGTGTTTGAACTTCCTATTCTCAAGGTCGAGCACCCACAAAACTCGAGGATGGTTACAGTACTACCCCCTTGAGTCCATCATCACTTGTGGGTAATTCAGAATCATACGCCGCGAGGTATTGTGGAGGACACCAGATTATGGCGTGTTGATTTTAGAGTGTCAAGACAAACAAATAGAAGTGAATAAGGCAAGGCAAGTCACCTGTTCCCCAGAATCTAGTCGAGCCAAGCATTATATACTCTTGGCAAATATCGTCTATTTCTCCAGCACTACTTCTAATTCGTGGCTTTTCCGGGTCCTTCTTGGCAATGTTTCAATTCAACCCCCAAGCTTCCCCAGATCTACGGTCGCATTCAGAGCTATTCACGTGGTGTGTGCTGTCATCTAAACATGTCTTATAGGCGGACAAACTCTGTTTCCAGTGGTGCAAGACCTGTTTAGGAATCGTCATCTAATAATGACCCCGTCAAGGCTACTCTGCCCCGCAAACTTTATCTTGAAGTAATTAAACCGGACTTCTACTCTATTTTCAGGGGGGTTGGCTCGTTGCACTGGCTCAAAACTTCATTGATGGCTAGCGAAAGTAGAAAAATGCATGCATGATGTTGGACTTTGATTGAAGGAATGCATTTTCACGAACAGAGTCTTTAGCTAGCCTAAAATTATGCTGCTGCCACCACTACGGGTTTATGAGGCGCAAGAATTACATTGTGGCACCATCATCACGAATGATGGCCTGAAATGGCGAAAAGACTTGACTATATAAGCTCTCTTGTTATGGGTCCATCCAGCAGTATTACCTTCATCCCACCTTTTGATCACTTGAGTTGCATTCCAAGTATTACATTGTCTCAAAGATATTCGGCACATTCATCAAAATGAAGTTTTCTACCATATCTGCCAGTCTGATGGCAACTCTTGCTCTTGCAGCACCAACCCCCACCGTCAACGAAGTTGCCGATATTGCTCAAATCGCAAAGCGTGCCAGTATCACGGATGTAAGTTCTATTTATCTTGTTATGAAATGAACTGACGTAATATAGGTCGGAACGGGTAACATATGCATCTCCTCCGCTTCGAAATAGTCACTGATTGAGTATAGGTTATGCCTCTCAGAATGGGGGGACCACTGGAGGAGCTGGTGGAACGACGACGACCGTCTCGACGTATGCACAATTCACGGCTGCGGTTGCCGGGACTGCAAAGAAAGTTGTCATTCTGAGCGGTGCCATAACAGAAACCGCAGACCAGGTAAGTAATCTTTTCGGGGAAACACTTTATATTTTGGACATCTCAGCGTGTGTCCCAAGAGGACGGATCCTAGAATACTGTTTTAATTTCCAAGGAACATTGCTTGAATTCCCAAAATTAAGCTCATTAGACAATACTGACTCCGTGGTCTTGAAATAGGTAAAAATCGGGAGCAACACGTCCCTCATCGGTAAAAATTCTGGAGCCAAACTCACTGGCTTTGGCGTCATAGTCAAGTCGGGGACTAATGTTATCATCCGGAATATTGCTATTGCAAAAGTGCTTGCAGACAATGGGGTAAGAAGAAATGAAGCGTTCTAAATCCATGGCACTGCATGTCACGGGGTGGCAAGAAGGTCTAATTCAGGCCCCCTAATAACGTCTCACGTTTTCTCGGATCACCCGTATCCACAATAATCAAAAGCCAAAACTAACTTTCCGTTCTTCGCAGGATGCCATTGGAGTGCAACTTTCTACCAACGTTTGGATTGATCACGTCGATGTATCTTCGGACCAGGACCACGATAAAGACTATTATGATGGTCTGCTAGACGTAAGCTACCCACGAAGTCATAAGGTACCCTACTAACCACAATCCCAGTTTACGCACGCGGCCGACTTTGTCACGGTCTCCAACTCGTATATCCACGACCACTGGAAGGCATCCCTGGTCGGCCACAGCGACTCAAACAGCGCCGAAGATACCGGGCATCTGCGCGTCACATACAACAATAATTACTGGAACAACATCAACTCCCGCGCGCCATCCATCAGATTCGGAACCGGGCACATTTTCAACAGCTACTTCAATGAAGTTGCAGACGGAATCAACACTCGCGACGGTGCGCAGGTTCTCGTCGAATCCAACACATTTGTCGATAGTAAGAAGCCTCTCTATAGCACCGATGAGGGATACGCTGTTGAAAGCGACAATGATTTTGGCACTGGCAGTAACGAGGCGCTGGCTGGGACTCTGACTTCGGTGCCCTACTCGTACTCGAAGCTTGGAAGCGGGGCAGTCAAGGCTGCTGTTGTTGGTACGGCTGGTAACACATTGAGCTTCTGATTGATGAGAGATGGGAGGATTGGAAGGAAATCTCAAGTCGGGTTCGGGGCAGTGGGAGAGGGAATTTACTTTGTACATACTACTCTCACTTAAAACTGTGCTGTATACATTGAACTATCGTATCAACATGGAGAGAATTTGCGTAAAGCTAGGCCAGATCAACATATTGCTAGACCCCTACGATCAGCAGTCGGGGGTTTCAGAGTTATAGAAAGAGGAAAAGATAGTTGGATTGCTATTATTGAAGAGTAATCTTGTGCTAGAAATACAAAATATATAAACAGTTTCTCTTACCCAGAGTATCACATGGGCCATCATCAAGTGCGGGGCGATGCCCCTAAATTCTAGCGAGATCTTCACTAATCTAGTGGGATCGGGCTTCCCCTGGGCTAGCGGGCTAGCGTATCGCGAACAATAATATCATGACGCAAACGATCAATATCAATAAACGCGACTTTCGCCCTCATCACATACCTTCTTCTCCTGTATCCAAATTACGGCCCATGTTTAAACCATCGATTAGACTTGCAAGTGTATTTCTAAAACCACGTTCAGTAATTAATTATTTCTCAGTTCCAACCATTCTCAAGAACGACTTTTCAAATTCCCCAATCCTCACCATGCCGCTTAAGAAAGCAGCCGTAAAGAACGGCAAACGCAAAGCGTCTACATCCCCCGAACCAGAAACCACAAACGGGCCATCTAAAAAGCCGAAAATTACCAATGGCTCCTCAGACCCCCTCCGCAAGCCTCACCACAAGGCCAAAGAAGCAGAAGAGAATGGTGTAGTATTGCGAAAGTACTACCCCCACGAGATGTCAAATGCGCGAGCGTTGGCTTATAACAAGGATGAACTGCCACGTCCAATCGATGATCTGAATTCGGCACTTTCAGAGACTCAATCCGAGCGAGAAAAAATCGAGGTCAAAGATGCGGTTGTGCATTGGTTCAAATGCGATTTGAGGACAAAGGATAATAAGGGGCTTCATATGGCGAGTGAGAAAGCTAGAGAGAAGGGTGTTCCGTTGATTTGCATCTATATTATCAGTCCACAGGATTTTGAGGCACACTTCACAGCTCCTGTCAGAGTGGACTTCATACTCCGAACTCTAGAAGTCCTGAAAGAGGATTTAGGGAAACTAGGTATCCCGCTGTACGTGGAGACAGTTGAGAAGAGAAAGGCTCTTCCAGGAAGGATATTGGAGCTCTTGAAAGAATGGAATACCAGCCATATATACGCCAACGCCGAGTACGAGGTAGATGAGCTACGGAGAGAGGCAAAGATGGTGCACTCGTGCTTAGCAAACGGCATAGCGATGGAAGTCGTCGCAGATACATGTGTTGTCAGTCCTGGAGAGCTTTCAAGCGGTACCGGAAAGCAATACTCAGTCTACTCGCCCTGGTTTCGAGCGTGGACCGCACACGTCCACAGCAACAGCAACCTCCTAGACCTCTTCGACACACCCACTAAGAACCCCCCAAACGCCAGGGAAAAGCTCACCAAGCTCTTCGAGACCAAGATACCGGCTGCTCCCGCAAACAAGAAACTCACCGACGAAGAAAAGAAGCGCTTCCGCTCCATGTGGCCGCCAGGCGAACACGAAGCACAACACCGCCTCTCCAAGTTCTGCACCGAAGCCATCAGTTCCTACGGCGCGAAACGCAACTTCCCCGGCGACACGGCGACCTCGTCCCTGAGCGTGCACTTCGCCAGCGGGACCCTATCCGCACGAAGCGCCATCCGCACCGCGCGCTCACAGAACACCAGCGCGAGCCTCAACGCCGGTCTCGAAGGCATCCAGACGTGGATCTCCGAAGTCGCATGGCGCGATTTCTACAAACACGTCCTGGCGCACTGGCCATACGTGTGCATGTCCAAGCCCTTCAAGCCGGAATACACCAACATAGAATGGGAATACAACAGTGCGCATTTCGCGGCGTGGCGCGAGGGCAGGACCGGGTATCCGATCGTAGACGCGGCCATGCGACAGCTGGCGCACTGCGGGTACATGCACAACCGGTGCCGGATGATCGTGGCGAGTTTCCTAGCCAAGCATCTATTGCTCGATTGGCGCATGGGCGAGCGGTATTTCATGGAGCATTTGGTTGATGGGGACTTTGCGTCGAATAATGGCGGGTGGGGTTTTAGTGCTAGCACGGGTGTGGATCCGCAGCCTTACTTCCGCATCTTCAATCCCCTGTTGCAGAGTGAGAAGTTTGATAAAGAGGGCGTGTATATTCGCAAGTGGGTCAAGGAGCTCGCAGACGTGCAGGGCAGCGCCATTCATGAGCCGTATGCGAGGGGCGTGGGGAAGAAGGTCAAGGAGAAGGGGTATCCGGAACGGATTGTGGATCACAAGGAGAGTAGGGAGAGGTGTTTAGCTAGGTATAAGGAGGGGCTTGGGAGGGAGACTACGTGATGATTTTACTATACATAGCCTCTGTTTCAAGAATTGAAAATTGAAACATACAATGAAGTGATCACTAGACCCGTCATATTACTTTCTGTGCATCAAAAGCAAGACAATAACACGAGCGTTGCTATTGCCGTGCGACTTGCACCTCACATCACAATTTCATCCTCAGCGTCGGCGTATAAGCAAGATATAAGATATGATAATTTCCCTTTATATTCCAATCCAATCTTATCCTATCTATACACTTATTGTCCCAAACACCCCTTTCCCATCCAAAACGCCAAAACGAAGGCGAACATCGCTCGCTATGCAGTTATATATAGTCCGAAACAGAACAATAAACGCCATATTGGCCTGGTATCTCTTTCCCATATGGGAAGTTATCGTCCAATCTAAGTATCCCTTTTGAAAGGGGGATCATGTAGTAATGATGTGTCGTATGTAGTGTAGAGTAAAAGCGCTAGATATGCAGTGATGAACATTCGGGCTCGGTCCGAGGTGTGACGGGGTCCTAATACCCCATTGCGGAATTTACGGGTGATAAGATGAACTTCTGTTGATTCATCTCTTACCACCCTGCCTTTCCTGTTCCTGCTCCCGTTCCGCCGCTTCTTTGACCTTCCTTTCCTCTTCGCCGGCCTTCAGGGTAGCGATTCGAGCTTCTTCCTCTTTGGCTTTTTGGGCATCTACATTCTGTTGCTCGGGAGGGGGTAGCTGGTCAGCTTTCGTGGGCTGTTTCACGACTTGAGGGCCATCGGGTTTTGGTGGTTCGGCTTGGTTGGTCTCGGGTTGCTGTTCTGGAGCCACTGGTGCTTGCTTCCCAGGTTCGCTTAAAGCTTGTTGCCCCTGGTTTTTCTGCTCCTCGGCTTTCTTATCCTGGGCTAACTTCTCCTTCTTCTGCTCTTCCTGCGCCTTGGCCTTCTTCTCGTCTGCCTTATTCTTTGCATCTGCTATGTATTTCTTGTTGACTGGAATCCATTCAAGTTTGTCTTCGTCGAAATGGTGACTGCGCAATTGTTAGGAAGCATATTTTAAGAATGTGGCTGAATGGGAAACTTACCCCTCGAAATCGACCAGGGTCAAGGCTTTCTGTTTATACTCGGCCTCGAGAACCTCTTTGTACGCAAATGGTATTTTCGCAGGTGTGCCTTCAAAGAATGTCTCTCGCAGAGGGAAAATGTAAGTATCCTGTCGATTATCAGTATGTATCTCTTATGCGCGGCCACTACTCTGCGTACCCTATATTCGTGTCCATCTTTGCAACTCAACATGCCTTCTCCAGAAGGATGAGTAGAATTATATCTTGCAGTCGTAATGTCGATGAACAATCCACTTGTAGTATCGACCCATCTCGCATCAATTACATTCAGTTTATCGGTCTGTTCTCGATTGGAGTAATGGGGATTTATTTCCATCATGTAATCCCTTCCTTCAGGGATACGAGGTGTTTTGTAATGGAAAACGGTCATGTTGTAGTACGATGCGAGGTAGTGTATCGAAGACTCCGATACCTGGACATCGGAATCGGAATCCCAGGGTAGAATCTGCGAGTACTTAGTAACACATCGGGAAATTGAGAGCATCATAAATCATACCTTGCGATTCCACCACCACCCCAATAAAGTACCATGCATCAGCCATGTCTCGACACCAATGTCTGACATTGTAGCCAAGTATGTCTGAATCAAATTGGAGAGTGCCTGCTTTCGTTCTCGATATCCTAATTGGTGATCGGCAAACCTGTCACCAAGTCAGTCGCGGCCATTGGGTTCCGAGGTGTTGGTCTGCTTACCGGCCATCATAATGTGGATGAAATCTGGATTAGCTTGTCAGCACTTTCTATCCTCCAAATCCTTTGCGGGTGAATGCCAAGTCAATACGTACACGCTTTCATCTGTAGAGAATGTTTGTTAGCATGATGGATCGAGATTGAAACGGGAGGAACCGATCGCGCGTGCACGATCTCCAAGCTGTTCGGTGAAGGCGACTTACGAAAATATTTGTCCTTGGGATCTCCTCTCCTGCCACTCATATCCTTGTGCATTTTGGTCCGGACGCTCAGGAAGTCTGCATCGCGTTTCTCAATAGCAATGGCAGATGCTACAGTGAGCACTGCGGGCAGTGAGAGCAGCCATGAAAGGCGCATCGTGGGTATTTCTGGGGATGAGAAATGGCGGCCCAGTCACTACTGCACTGCAGTACTTGGAAAGCTTGGCTGACGATGGAATCAAAGCAACTGCTTGGCACGTAGATCTCCAAGTACAAAGTGGCAGCAGTACTTTATCTCATGAACCGTAACGTTTCTCGGAAGGGTTGTTTGTGGTGTTGCTGGTATGGATACTATGGTCGGAGTGGTGTGTTGAATGGCACTGTGAATCGGAGGTTCGGATGGAGAAAATCCAGGGTACTGAGTGATATATGAGCGTCGTGTGTCGTGTACAGTACAGTAAGTAAGGCAAGGTACCTTCGGAAGTATCCAATCTATGGACCTGCCTGTCAGCCGTTTGAAAGTTACAGTAGAGCAGGGTTGGTTGGTTGGTTGGTTGGTTGGTTGGTTGGTTAGCTGTCGGATTGGCGGGTCTCGCGGGTAAAGGACCGGGAATGTACATTGGGCAGGTAAGGAGTGGGGTTTCGATAGGAAGGGCCAGGGAGGTTCATCTCAGCTCTAGACTCTGGGCCGCGCGGAGGTTTGGAAATAAGATGTTGGGAGTCGTACGGAGGACAAATTCGGAAATTTACATCTGCACTGTACCGGACTGTACGATGTCCTCAGAATAGATTAGAGTAGAGTGCCCCTATCTAGTAGATACCCAGGCAGTCCAAGAAGGGAAGTTGCCTCGGAATTGGTTTTGGTCCGCACCTTCACTCGACTGTCCGAGGGCAGAGATACTTACTGTAGATCTCCATACTCCATAAGTCGCGTGTCCTCTCAATGCCACGCCCCACGCCCCATACCCCTCGTCTCATCAGATGCAGCCCCATCCCTAGTTGTGACGCGTGTCATGCACACGCTATGGATCAAGCTTTTTGCCGATGGGACTGGCGGCCTTGGCAAAAGCTTGGTGTTCCAACGCTTACGCCTCGACAACGGTAAGATTACCAACAGTAGTACAGGAACTATATACTATATATAGTAGACCACTACTAATATACAATGTAGTACGAAGTGTCTAGTCTGTTGAAATACTTCAAGGACCGCCATCAATCTACCTAGAGCTGGATGGTTGAAAAGTAGTGGCGCACTAGATACCGTATCAAGTCAGGCTTGAAAGGCATAGGAAATTGGTGTAGAACTAGCTATATTTCAACTTTCAAGCTTACTGCAGAAGAAGAGGGGGTCTTTCACAACCCAACCGTACTATTATGTTTTGATAAATAATGAGAGCTTCTCCCGTGTTCCTAGGACCCTTTAGTCGCCCCTGCCGGAATATGGAATGCATGTAGAAATTGATTTATCATAACAAAAACAACCACCTTCCTTCGCTCCTAACAATAATGATCAACAATCGAAAAGGAGATCTAACAAGGACCCAAAATAGGTACATCAAGCAATAAGAAAATAGGCACATGGCACGTGGCCAGCACACACTAAAACCAACTTGATACACGGATCCTCGTCATACTTTTCGCGTCCTTTTCTGCAACTTGTACACAGAGTATCAAACATTCCTACACTATATCTATTCTTGTACTCCCCCGCACGTTCACCCAAGGAACGTTGTACCGGTACCGCGAATCCCGAGTCTGGGTTTCGTTAATGCGGCGAGGAATTTAACATTCCACAACACAGATGCCTTGGATGCAAATGGTAAATAGAAGCGATCACTCATACCATACCTAGGCACATCAGAATGTGCTTTGACAGCTTCAAATTTCACGTCCCCCGAATCTCAAGATCAAGACATTCTTGGAATCTGGGCTCCATTAGCCATCATTCTCGATGCAGAAAGAAGTATATACTACACATTCACGGGCTACGCTTGGGACAATGTCAAGTTAAGCTTCAATTCCCTCCACAGCCCAAAAATTTATAGCTTCTGCAGACGGTCGACTCTTCTCATGCGCATCGGGTCAAGCTCACTGAACTCCTTATTCTGCCCTTGTTCAAGCCGATCACTAGCTGGATACTCCTCAGAGTCTTGATATTCATTCATCCCAAGTTTCTATTCCACAACTTTGATCCCTTTTGACTTGGTATATTCCAAGCTAGACCCTGAAAGTCGGGCAGATTCATATCTCTAGAGTTACTAAAGACCTTAATGGATAGGTGTTGCTAGCGTAAGCCTGCTCATTAACACCGAAGAACGAATAGTTCAAGTGCTAGTAACTCATTGATAATGCAGTTCAAGTCTTCACTTGAATTAACCAACAAGCCATACAAGTTCAGAACACAAGTGGAGAGTGGAGAACAAGCGGTTCTATCCGATTGGCTGATGGCCTTACGACCCTCTTACGACCCTCTTTTGAACATCGGAAAACTCGACATCCAGCGTCGTCCTTTCTCAATGTACTTACAAGGTGTTGATTAGGTCTTACGATGGAAAGGAGGCGAAGAAATGGTGGGAGGAATCAAAGGGCTTGTACGGGTTGTCGCCAAGTCAAGGTACTTTCTCCACAAATTCCAACGTCCTGCGCTAACGCCCCAAAGCTACGATGTGATGGCGCGCAGACTTTCCCAGCAGCTTGTTCACGGTGTCAGAAAAACAATATTAAATGCCGGACAGACCCAGGTTTCAAGCGGATGCCCGCTCGGAACGCTTTCAGACGGTTAGAGGAAGTCACGACCCAGTTGAATGAAGTCCAGGCCAGTTTTGCAACAAGGCTCCCAAATGGAACCCCTGAATCTTCAGCCCGTACACAAGCTTTGCCACTCCTTCAGAACACATGCCAAGCTACAAAGCTTATGCACGACACCCATGGAGATTTTCCGCACTTCTACCCGCTGGATAATCTACCAGACCTCCCATGCCTAGGTCAGATCATCTTAGAGAGCATTCAAACGAAAAGTTTGTTTGAACAGTGAGTCTGACCATCCATTTCCCCCAACAAGCTGAAAAGTAATAGCTTCGGATCAAATTATTATCGGCATTGTCCGATCTTAGATACTGAAGTGTCAGTCAAAGAATTACATCAAACTTCACCCGTTTTGTTCTGGACTATTATCATGATTGCTTGTCGATGGCATGTTTCGCTCTCTTATCTATATGATTCGCTCTTGGAGCCGTATCGAAGTCTACTTGGGAGAACATTGGTCGAGCCTATACACTCTATTGAATCCATACTAGCCATCGCCCTGCGGTGTTTCTGGCCTCTCTCCGTTCCGCGGCAAGTCGATGATCCCAGTTGGAATTATTGTGGGTTTATGACCAACGCCGCAATGAAGATGGGACTCAACAAAGCGCAGAGGGATTCTCAGGGAACCGCGCCAAAGAGCACCGTAAGTCTTAGGAGACTGGCATGGATTGCATGTGTCCAAGCCAATTGCATGTAAGTCTTGCATCTTAGTCTGCAAGATTTTTACTGATGTTCCAAAGCCATGGGTGGACCTCAGGTGTAGCCGTATCCGCCGAACTGCTAAGAAAATTTACTATAGCGCCATCACTATCTACAAGAGTTGAAAGGGGTTTTGCTCTCAAGGTACGGATTATGCAGCAGACTGCAATTTCATGTTCGACCCTCACAGGTCTCCGCGAAAATTTGGATTCGTGGGCTTTTGTTCAGAGCCAGTGCAGAGACCTAGACACTCTCCGTGATGCATGTGGCAACGACGAATGGACAGCAGAGATGGATGTCCTTACTTTTGGAGGACAGCTTCACCTGTACATGATTCAACTTGAGCGAGGGGAAAGATTGCATAATGTTTCACAAGCTGAAGGCAATCAGGATAATGCCTCTTCCCAGCTGAGCTTTATCAATCTCGCCTACATGACCGCAACCCAGTCAGTCCATTCATTCTCAACTATGCTTGAAGTTGCAAAAAGACACGACAACACCGACACTCAATCTCCTCAGCGGCACCTCCCAAAACACTATTTTGGACTGCTATTGCTTGCAATGGCTTTTTTGTTCAAAGTGAAAATTTTCCACGCACAGGACGTCACATCAAGCCAAAACCGTACTGATGCAAGTCTTCGTGCGGTCTACGAAATTCTCTCTTCGTGGTCTGGGGGTGAACTAGATGAGACTGGCAGGGCAATTCGTCTCATGGACGTTCTTGCGCGGAATGAAAAGGAGATAAAGTTGAGATTGAAAGAGTCCACCTCCGAGGGCCGACAGGGTCTTGAAATTTTAGACAATTTAATCTCCACTGCGAAGACGATTCGAGAAAGCGCGCAAGCGGCTACAGAAATAACGAGCAACGAGGCCAACCAAGTAGCTGACCATGTTCCGGGACTCGATAATGATCTAGGCCTCATTGAAGGATGGCAAGACTCGCTGCTGGACTGGAATTTTCCCTGGGGGCTTGATCTACCATGGGTCGACCAGTACGACCTTGATATTGGAACTACTTGATTCTTTTCAGTCTCTTCTAAATACCCCTTGTTCTGGATATATACAGTACTGCTGCTCCGAATTTTCGGTCGGAGAAAGGCTGTCACTATTACGCCAGGGTGTGAAAAATGCGAGCCGTTTTCACGAGTTCTTTCGCCTCTAAGACTCTGAAAAATCCTCTATGCATACCGAAACCTTCCCCTTATAGGAGGCAGACAAAGCTCATCTGACTAGAGTCAGCGAATGACCTTGGGACAGTGTTATACAGGGTGAATGTTGCAGTGCATAAATAACGCCCCCCACTTCGACTTTTTACAAGTATCGTACTACATTACAAACGGCAAATTCAGAATGGGGCATGAAAGAGGAGAACATGTTATAGTTCCATGCATTATCTCCCATTCGAGCGGGTTTGTAGGGCGGGCAGCGACTTGCGAATTTCGCTCGCTAAGCGGGGTCTTCCGATTGGCTTCCTCCCCTTACGAGCTCTTGACAATAGATCAACAACTGCTGTTTATGCGGAGATTCAAGGATTCTATTTTCAATTTACCTTTTAGTATTAGGCATTTGTGTGTGCCTTTTCCCTATATAACGCGAAGTCCTCGTCCTTCATCAAGTATTAACTACTTACTTTACCGGAAGCTTTTGCAACGCTCGTTTAGAATCAGTTTCGATCACCTCATACATCTTTCCACCAATTCTTTCCAGACACAACATGGAACCCGCGCTGACTATCTACAATGTCAATGATGAGAAGAGTCTCTCTTCGCAGTCTAGTCTCAGAAAGCCTCAGCTAGATCCACTATGCCACATCCTAACTCCCATCGGCATGCTTGGATATGGCTTCGATGAAGCCCTCACCCACCAAGCCTTACAAGATCTCAAAAATAGCAACGTGCCAACAGCCCTAATCATCGACTCCGGCTCCACCGATTCTGGCCCCGCTAAGCTAGCTCTGGGAATCATGACTAGCCCTAGAGGTTCCTACGAGCGGGATTTCACTAAACTGTTGAGACTTGCGAATACTTTTCATGTCCCGCTGCTGATTTCTTCTGCGGGAGGTGATGGAAGTGATGCTCATGTTGATGAGTTTTTGGATATTGTGAGAGAAATTTGTGAGAAGGGAAACAAGTGAGTGTTGTCTCAAGTATCAGAGACAAGTGCTAATGATTTCTAGCTCCTACAAATTTAAGACTTTGGCTATCTACAGTAATGTCTCTAAAGCAAAAGTATTCCACGGTCTCCATGCTGGCGAAGTTAAAGGGTGCGGTGCGTCTGTTCCTGAGCTGACAGCTTCTGATATTGAAGGTGCTGCCACAATTGTGGCTCAAATGGGCCCAGAGCCTTTTGTTCAGGCCATGGAAGCTGAACCTGATTTTGACATCATCATCGGTGGTCGAGCATATGATCCGAGTCCTTATGTAGCATTTTGTATTTTCCAGGCTGAGAAAGTGCTAGCAGCTTCGGGGAAGACTTTGACCGCTGAACAGTTGGGCGGCTTCACTCATATGGGGAAGATTATGGAATGCGGTGCTATATGTGCTACACCCAAGAGTGCTTCAGCTATGGCAACGGTATATCGAGATGGAACGTTCAACATCAAACCTCTTAATGCGGATGCTCGCTGTACGCCATCTTCCGTGGCAGCTCGTAAGTGTTTAACCTCTTACCATTCCGCCCAAGAAGATTTGGGAGTTGAGAGCTTCTGTTCCTTCTAAACCTGCTAGCTGTTACTCCCAAGTTGGTCTAGACTTGTTTTCAAAGAGGCATTACTAACTCCGATTTCTTCAAGATACGCTATACGAAAAATCTCGTCCAGACATCCTCTCCGGTCCGGGAGGAAATCTCAACCTCACACGTTCCATATACACCCAATTACCCGATCAAAGAACCGTCCGCGTCCACGGCGCAACATTCCAATTCTCCCGCGATGTAGACCTCCCGTATACAATCAAGCTCGAAGCAGCAAAAATGGTCGGCCACCGCACAATCTTCATGGGCGGCGTCCGAGACCCCATCCTCATCTCACAAATGTCATCCTTTCAATCCCGCATTCAAGAATACGTAATAACACAGAACACACCCTCATCTCCATCAAGCGGCGAGTTCTGGAAACTTGGCTTCCACACTTATGGCGCAAATGGTATAATGGGTGCCTTGGAACCAGGAGATTCAACGTTTCAGCCACGGGAAATATTCATTGTTGGTGAAGTTCTGGCAAGTAGCCAGAAGCTTGCAACTTCCATCGCCGCTACGGCGAGGGTCGCTGCTGCTCATGGCGCGTATCCTGGACAGCGGGGTACGGGAGGGAATTTTGCCATGGGCGTAGGTGGAAAGCTGGAAGTCGAAATGGGGCCTTGTGCAGAATTCTGCATCTACCATCTCATGCCACTGCGCGTTGGAGAGGAAGGTGCGAAGAGAATCGGTGATAATAGGGTGATGAGCAAGAGCGATTCCTCGACTCTTCCATTATTTTCCTGGAAGATGAGTATCATTGGAAAAGGAGACCTCACTGTTGCTCCCGAGCCACCCGTCCGTTCCTCACCAGCAACTGCTCTAGATCCCCCTCGCCAAAACCCCAGGCCCAGCCAACCCTCAACACTAAACCTCACATCCCCTCTCACACTCACAGACATCGCGCCCGTGATCCGCTCTAAGAACTCCGGGCCCTACGAAATAACTCTCGACGTCGTCTTCTCCTCCCTCCCAGTCTACGCCATCATAAAGGCCTCCTCGCTCCTCACGCCAGCCACTCTCGCGCGCATGTACCATTTGCACGAGGCGGATATCGTGTGGTGTGGATTCTTTGACCAGGCTATGGCGTGGAAATGCACGCTTCCGAGACGGGGAGATGCGGGGGAGAGGAGGATTGCTGGCGGGTTCATGGAGGCGGATGTACATGCTAGTCAGCAGTATGCTGGGCTGCTGGGCTTGGAGTTGGGGGAGGAGGTGAGGGGGAGGATTAGGGAGTTGGGATTGGGTGGTGGCGGGGAATAGAGAGTGCGTGAGAATGGATGTTGCCTAGCTGGTTGTCTATATTCGTTAGATAATGGACATTCCGCGATGATGGGGTTTTCAGTGTGGGTGAGCTAAAGAGAGTCATTGGGAGAATTGAATATGCACAGAAACATCTACCAAGCACTCCGGAACCACTGGCTGTTCCTGTAGATACCTTGCAGTCAAATTCACACATCATATCTATGACCCTCTAGCAATCGCATACCATTCGTCCTGCAAGCCCCTAGGCCTGAAACCGAGAAGGGAGTGCTGCGAGGTGGCATTATATTCTTCCAACTCTGTTATAAAGACTTCACTTTCACCGCCACGACTTGAACGTAGGAGAAGAGCTGCTTTGAGTTTAATTTGAATGTAGTTTTAACTAATACTTCCAGTTGGACCACTTAGTCTATAAAGCCCTACATGTTGCAAGAAGAAAAATATCGGTGCACTATAATACACCCGCGCAATTCAAATCCGCGAAATCAATCAATTGATTTCTCAAAAGAGTGAGTGGTGCTAGACTACTAGATAGGTAGCTAGCGCTTTATCGAAGAAGTGACTCAATAGAACTTAGTTTTTTGCACGGGTTCCTAGCATGTAGACTTCCTAAATACAAGTAAACGTCACGTCACGTTCTTGAGGCTTTTGAGTATACGGAGCGTATGTGCAGCTCTACTATAGGAGCGATGTGAATAATTTAGATAGAGGAGAAAGATACAGGACAGGACTTTTGAAGTGCCGACACTGTTAATCGCAAGCTTTACCTCACTGAGTGAGGCTCACTAACCTTCTCCACTCAGAGAAAGTATAATTTATTGCAAAAAAAAAAAAAAAAAAAAGAGTGGCAGGAGACTCGGACCAAGCTCAATTGACTAGAAATAAACCAAACATCCTAGAACATCCTCTCTTGCTAACTTAAACCCGCACGCATGCATTCAACGGATCCCAAATCCAAATCCAAAGGGTCAAAGAGTCATTTCCCCGCTCGCTTCCCATCACTTTCAAGATACTCGAGTACCGTACATTACGAGTACGAGTATATTCAAATCACATGAAAAAGCAGACAACCAGCGAAAACAGGCAATCTCCACCCCCCCAAAAACCAACTCGCAAGTTTTACCGAAAGGCATTAAGATCGTCGTTCTGTGCATGTACTACTCCCGTACGCGGTTACTACGCGGCATAAACGGGCAAGGGACCATCCACCGCCATCGGATCATGTTGCATACGGAGGTACAGTACAGTACAGTAACGGCCGCTAATACTCGTTCTCGTTACTGTACTGTATATCACTATACTCCGTACGGACCTGCTTGTGCAGAGTGCAGAATAGTGCGGACAGAGTATTGGATTTAGATGCCGAATCCGAATGCGGGTTTGAGAGATTCAGGTTTGATTGTTCTTTCGGCTGGATGTTTGTACTCTAGCTACGACTCTGTACGGAGGGACTTTGTGCATATGAGGAAAAGGTAAATCATCCTTCTTAATCCCAGTCTTAGCCGCAGTCTCAGACTCTCAGTACCAGTCCTTCCCCGGATATTACAGTAGCAATGCGGAGGTATGGTGCGGAGCGGAGCACGGACTGTACTGTATGTTCAACGGAGCGTTTTCAGCTCTTGTTGTTCGTTTACGGAGTGTATCTGCAAAACACAACACATACCAGGGACCCCTCCCCTGACCCCTGAATACCCACACAGCACAGCATAACCCAACGAGCCAACCCATCCGACCCCGTTTTCGCTACATTAGCTTCGGACGTGCAGTATCTGCACGCACGCGGCTTTCCCTGCCGAGCTTGCCACCGTAGAATTCCATCACAAAGGTTAATAAAATCTGATGAGCTGGCCAGGGAGTTGCATGAATATGGTATATGGGATTATGGGAAACTCCGTTTGTGTTTGGTGTGCTACCAGGGGAGGGAGGGACAGGTACACATATCACCTTCTGAGAAGTTCCAGAACCGGCTTCTGGGATGGGATGGATGGTCATGAGGCGCGTGTACGTGTGTACAGTAAGTCGATCTTTAATCTCATCCGAGGTATATGGTGTTCATGACGTTGTACTTGTGGTGAGTACAAGATTTAATTAAGACATGACGAGCAAACCTACGATTCTCAATTCGTTTCTAATGTCTATGCGGAAACTTTCGGACATGCAAGAAACTCGTAGAAAAGGGTTGTGATGAGTAATATTGCTTTAAAAGCTCTTTGGAGCCTTTCTATATAAACAAATGCTAGAACGCCCCGTGTATGCACCCATATATACTTATTTCCCAGGTTTTGGAAGCGCCTGTTTGTATAGCCATGTCGAGAATCTAACACTCGGTTCATCAATCGTCTTCGTGACCAACTCTGCAAGCCAAAGTGTAAGTGGCAAGAGGATTAAATGCGGAACCCAGAACGCCAGGTCAAAACCGAACGGCCCCCTTTTAGACAACGGAAATGCATTGATCCATTCAGGAATGCCAATCGCATGAGTTTCCCTTGCGTACCCCGTCGCTGAATAGAACCTGTTGCCCACTATCCAAAGCACCGGTCCATGTATCATGTAGAAAGAGAACGAAATGCGGCCCATGTGCTGGTTGAACCGATGTTCGAAGAAGCTCTTGAGCCATGATATACGCGGGATTGAAACCACGAGCAAAGTTGCAGCCCAGAACAAATAAAACCACTTGTAGTCGAAGACAGCTTGTGGCTTCAAAAAGGATAGGTAATACCATCCAGGGGTGTCCCGCAGAACCTGGACGTCGGCGGAAGGAGAAGGGACGCCGCCGAGGTACATACTGACGACAAAGAGCGCATAGTATATAGGTGTTTTGAATGGCTCCAGCAGTGCAAAGAAGCCGGGCAAATCATCGTTTTCGGCGAGCATATCCAGATCGTAGAGGAGCATGCCTGACATGAACAGGGAGCCAAACCAGCCATCTGCGATATACAGGAAGTAGATGATGAGTATAACCTCACCCAAGAGTCGCATATTTCTCCTGCACCTCGAAAATGCCATGAGCGCAGTGTAGATGATAAGTGAGCCTCTGAACTCGACTGGGATGGACCATAAGTGGAAGTTGTAACTGAAAATGAGTTCGCCGCCTGTCCTAAATACGAAACTGAAGTTCTTGAACTCGCAATACCAGGACCAAAGCTCATCCCTCCAATTCCGTTGGTGTATGGTGTCTTCGGTCCAAAGTCCAAATGCATGCCACGAAGTCATGTACAAGAATGTTGTGATCATGATAGGCAGATGCAATCGTATATAACGTCTGAACAGGGCAGAAGCCAAGTTGTCTCCGAGCTTCAGATAGTCGCCAGCGTGTATCAAGCTCAACGGTTTCGCCGACAAAACGTAGCCTGAGATGACAAAAAACACCGTGACTGCGAAGTGGCCACCGTTGAAAAAGGTCCGTATCCCGGGGAAGGTGACAAAGTAATACTGATTGTCGTAACCCCAACCATTGTCTAGAATTTTGTCACCATGCGTTGCGTCGCGCGCCCACAAGTGATGGTGATGCCAGTACACCAGAAAGGCTGCAAATCCCCTCAGACCGTCGAGATACGCTGTACGCCGGAGGGTCTGTTTACGCTGGCATGCTGTCCTTTTCAGGAATGAGGGTCGGAAGAAGTCCATATTCCATTTCGAAGCTCTCGCGTGTTGCCATTGAGTCGGATTTGAATCAGTCTCGACGTCCTGGAAGTATCCCTTCTCCAACAAGCTGTCTCTGGCAGGGGAGGCCATTAGGGGCTGCGGTTGGAGACTGCCACGATGATCATGAGGACTCTCGTTGACTCAGTAGTGAGTGATGAAGAAAGTTCTGAGAGATGTTCAAAGGTTCCGGGTAACCTTCTTGAGGCAAGAACGATGCTCAAACGCGGGGAATCATGAAATGTATGGAAACGAAAAAAGGACAAGGTAATCAAACTCGAACTCGACATGCACATTAGCTACGTAATCAGGGACAATACCGCTGGTGCCGTACCGTTACCGTACCGTCTTGCACATGTCGCAAATCAGATCTTCTTCGGCCCAACTACTATACTATGAACGGGCACAAGAGCAAACCAACAAAAAGTCCCAATGTTCATGCGGGGAATAAGCGCTGATTGCGGGGCACCCCACTTTTACCTCGGCTCACCACTACCTGATCAGGAACGCTGTTGGGGCTAGACAAGGGACCCTTGGTCCCGATTTTACTGTACAGTACGTACATGTATACAGTGATTATCTTGATGATTATCTTGATGGTTATCTTGATGGTTATCTTGCATGTTCTTTAATGTACTCCGTACAAGGAGACTGCGTTTCTTTAATAATAACAATAATAATAAGATCCGCAGGCGCGACGTTAAACTTTGGATAAATGGTAGTTAAAGGATACCCTCCGAGCTCACAAAAGGGTCGTAGGCGTAGGAAGGTAATCTTACGAGCACCGCGGGTAGTTTAGTTCGTGACTTCTCTCCACAAAGCTCGTCCCTTTTAGTTTTGCGCATCTAAACCCTAACCGCCTTTTGCAATTTCGTCTTGCTAGTACGGAGGGAGGTACCGGAGGTGAAACTTGATTTCTGATGAGAAGAAATGGCAGAACTTGCAAAACGCAGCATACGGAGTACTTCCTACCAAGTTCACTTATATATGAGGGACATTAGTCTCCGTGATGAAGGAAACCGTTACCCTATCGTGACCCATGTTACACCCCGCAGCTGCCAATATTGCTACGGATCAAAGTACAGTACTGGTTACGTACCGAGTACCCCGGACATGCTCTAGTGGGAAGGTACTACCTACGACTGCATTGTCGCTAGACCTCGGAACACAATCTCAACGGTGTCCTTCCCAGCCACTTGTTCCATGTGCATTGCGGGAAGCACATGTGTGTTCCTGGTAAATCACCGCGATTGACATGGCAGCACCCCCTCAACTTGATTGCTTACACGCCTTCCTCGGAAATCATATGCTTTTTAATTACGAGGTACCTATTTGGTGATCAACATGGCGGCATGGGACCCCCCACCCTCCCCGCAGCGGTCTGATAGCTCGAAGCTATCTAACCTTGCAGTAAAACCTTGACATCCCTCCTCTCTCCATCATTGATCAATTCTCACTCGTTTGTAACTCCAAAAAAGCCATGACAGACGTCAACGCGATGATTTCGAAAGTTCTGGGACGCTTACCTACGAAGGTCTTGCGAAGGGCTCTGCCAGTATACATCACTTGCGTATTTCTGGTCCTCTTTCTTTGGAATCTGGACTCTTTCGGATCTGCTGAATCTTCAGAGTCTTCAGATGTTGGCAGCATGCTGAAGCGTGAATTGTCTCACTTCACAACACGCAAAGCAATAGACCACATCCCAAGGAAAATCTGGCAGACCTGGAAGATAGATCCTCTGGGTTTCGAAGAGAGAGACTTAACGGTTGCCAGGACTTGGACGCAGAAGAACCCGGGCCACAGGTACGAGGTTCTGACAGACAACAATGATTTGTACTATGTCGAAACACACTTCGGTCCTACTGGTTTCAATCGACCCGATATTGTATACATGTATCGTTCACTCACGCTGAAGATTATCAAAGCGGACCTGTTGCGATATTTGATCATGTATGTTGAAGGAGGATTATATGCCGACATCGATGTGGAAGCGCTCCGTCCAATTGACCGCTATATTCCCGACCGGTACCATGAAAGGGATATTGACATGGTTATCGGGGTCGAGATCGATCAGCCAGAGTTCAAGAATCATCCTGTACTAGGTAAAAAGTCGGAATCATTTTGTCAGTGGACATTCATGTGCAAACCTGGACTTCCTGTCATGTTGAGACTTATTGATGGTATCGTCAAGTGGCTGAACGAAGTTTCAAAGAAACAGAAAGTGCCAGTATCGGAGATCGTCCTCGACTTTGACGAGGTAATAAGCGGGACTGGGCCTTCAGCTTTCACCGGCGCAGTTTTGGCAGAAATGAGCGAGAAAGCCGGGAGAAGTGTGACGTGGAAAGACTTCCACAACCTGAGCGAATCGAAACTTCTTGGCGGTGTCTTAGTTCTCACTGTCGAGGCTTTTGCGGCAGGTCAAGGCCACTCGGACTCTGGAAACCACAACGCAAGGACGGCCCTCGTCAAGCATCGTTATCATGCTTCTGGATGGCCGACTACTCATCATCGATACAAGCACCCAGTATTCGGCGAGGTGGAAAAGTGCAACTGGGACCCCGAGTGTGTCAAAATCTGGGATTACAGCATGGCAGCTTTTGAGCAGCTTTCTCCAGAGGAGCAAGCCAAGCAGACGAAAGACAAGGAGATGGCTGATGCTGCGGAAGCCGAGAAAGAGGAACAGCTAAAAAAAATTGGGGATATGGAGAAGCTAGCTGAAGCCGAGAAAGCCGACAACTTGGAGAAACTCGGTCAATGGGAAAGAGAGCAAGCCAGGTTGAAAGCAGAAGAAATTTCGAAGAAGCCAGAGGGGGAAAAGCAAGGGAAAGGAGAAGCAAAGGAGACAGATGGAGGTGAAGAAGCCAACACGGAGGCCGGAGGGGAAGCGGGTGCGGAGAAGAAAGAGGAGGAAGCCACCACGAAGAAAGAGAAAGAAGCTACAGGTGCTGGCTCTGCTGAGAAGGAGGTGGTAGTGGCTCCCGAACAACAGCCAATGCAAGTGGTGTGAAGAACGACATGTTCAGACGCAAATTGGATGAAGACGAAAAAAGCGACGAATAAAGTCAGTCGTGTCATAGAGAAACATTTTTGTTTGGGGATTAGACAAGAAGTGGGGTGTATGCCATGAGTTGGAGCTGGCGGACGGATCAACCACGCGCTATGGATTTCATGTTTCGGCGTCAAGGGGCATTTAAAGGCGTTAATATACCTCTTGGAGTACATGATTTAGAGACTTCTTTTTAGAACACGGTAGCTCACACGACGGAAGAAAAAACATAAATACTTTTCAAACATGATTTCCTCTGAACGAGCCTTGCATTGCTTGAAAATTGCCGGGCATTCGATGCGGCCCATTGTTGTAAAGCCACTCAGCCAGAATCCTTTAGAATAATGGACTGTACTGTACGACCGTTCTATGCTTAGGTTCCAGCTTCGCGCTTGGATAATAGCTAGCCACCAATCTCAAGTTGTGTAATACCAAAACGGGAGAACAGTAGAACGCGGTGAAAGAAATCGCAATAGTAGCTGGAGCTGCAAATTCGGCTGGCTTGCTTCATCACGCTAGGTTTTACTTGAAACTTGAGAGTGTTATGGCTGAGATTTACACTTGGCTGAGATGTAGTACGCTCAAGGACTTAGTATACTTCGTTGATATACAGTATAGTGTTCGATTCGAAAGAAATGGATAGAGGTGAGGTGAGGACCGTGAGGTACGATCCGAGACAAGTGGTCATTATTGGTGGAGCACCAGGAGTAAGTGATGACGCATATATTTTCCCATAAAAAGAAAAGCTAGTAGTAAATGAACAAAACAAAGAGAGTTTCTTATAGCCAGAGCAACTTGAAAACTTGAAGCTGTAAAACCCAATTGTTAGCTAATTAACAAATACTACCTAGGTAGTAATTGTTTGTTTTACTTGTGACATGTTGTTGGGTGAGGGGCTGCCAAGTCTCAATGCGATAAGGGGTGCAGCTATTCAGAGCATCGAACAGCTGCTCCCTATACCCATGCAAGCATATAATTGATGGTGTGAGGCTCTTCAGAATTGAGGCTTGACTTTGTCGTGAATATGTTTGAATACCTAATCAGCTCACCCAGAAATGCCAAACTCTCTTTCAGGTTCAACGTAAGCCTCTCTTTCTTAGCTCATCCATGCACCTCTAAAAACCCCACCATCGATCGTACCGTTGATAAAGAAAATTTCGACTCATCGATCCTTCAGACTTGCACATACACTTCAAATATCTTCAAATATCTACTCTCGGCCTTTGCAATAAAGTACGGATACGACCTCGTCTTCGGGAAAATGCAGCGTTTAAGTAGCACACAACAGTCCGATCCAGGTAGGAAACCTGAGCCAGTCGAGGCAAAGGACCGGTGGCCATTCCTCAATCTTTCGAGCACTATCCACCCTTTCCCAAGAGAATGGAGATGGTGTTCCTGACTGAGATGATTGGCCTGAGATTATACGGTTACACTTGATCAGGATAATGCCTGCGAAAGAATCTTGCTTCCCCTAGACTCCCTTCCTGTAATGATTTATCATCCACGTTGTAGAAACTAATTGCCGCACAGGATGTCTTCCAGCGACGAACTAGCTGATGAGAAATGGGTTAATACCTCTCAGACAGCACAAAATAATCTACCTGGTTCCCCCAACGGAATGGCCGCGGATGGGCGTGCGCTGGACCACGATGCCAGTCTCGATCTCGACGTTGACGAAGTCAAAGCCTCGAGTAAATACTTTTCTTGGGCATATCGACTTGAAAATATCTTGGGCTTTGAGGCGCGGGGCATAAACCAGGTCAAGAGGAAAGAGCAGGCTGAAAAGACTACCCTCGGCTTCTTGCAGATTGTGATGATGTGGCTCTCGATCAATACGGCGGCACAAAACATAACCCTTGCGAGTATTGGGCAAAGTGTGTTCGGCTTGGGTTTCCTTGATGCTACATTGTGCAGTGTACTTGGAGGAATAGTCGGTACCATTCCCGTCGCCTATACCGCTGGCTGGGGTCCATGGAGTGGCAACAGAACCTTGGTATGTTTCGATTCTCGTTTGATCGGTTTGCGGATTGCTAACTATAACTTAGATATGCGCGCGCTTTTCTATGGGCTGGTGGCCTGTAAAGATCTGTGTATTGCTCAATCTAGTGATTCTTATTGGCTATACTACGGTACGTTATATGCTGCCCTTGATTTGGCATTTTCTTCGGAGCCGAGCTCTGAGTGAACTTTGAATTTGCTACGCGAGCTTGACTCTTTAGCTCTTTAATTCTTATCAAAACTATACTAACTCACGTGTAGATAGATGCTGTGGTTGCTGGGCAGATCCTCTCTGCAGTGTCCGCCAACGGTAGTCTGACGGTCGCCGTGGGAATTGTTATTACTGCTGTAATAACTGCGGTAGTCACTACCTTTGGCATCAAGTTCTTTCATTACTATGAAAGGTCAGTCTCTCGATTCTCCAGTAATACCTTAGCTAACCCGGACAGATACGCCTGGATCCCATCATTTGCTGTATTTCTGATCCTTGCAGGCACTGCCGGCCCCCATTTTGACACCGGTTCAAAGTCTACCGTGGAAGGCGCAACCCTCATTGGGAATCGAATCTCCTTCTTCTCAGTCTGTCTCTCCGCCGCAATCACATACGCTCCTGCAGCTGCTGATTTCCTGGTCTACTGTGATGCCAAAGTCGCAAGCCGCTGGAAAGTGTTTGGGGCTACAATGACCGGGCTTAGCCTCTCGTTTACGTTTTGTTTCGTCATTGGTGCAGGTCTTTCTTCTGGCTTGGCAAGCAATCCCGTGTGGGAGGCTGCTGGTGCTGGAAGTGGCGCGCTTATCGTAGCAGGATTTGATGGTTTAGGCGGCTTCGGGAAATTCTGCTCGGTGGTAGTTGCCCTTGGATTGATTCCCAACATGGTCGCTCCCATCTATTCGTCTGGAATTGACTGGCAAATCTTGGGGCGATACCCGGCTATGGTGCCCAGGTTCATTTGGACGACATGGGGTGTCATCATCTTCACTGTTTGCGCTCTTGTCGGGAGGGACCATCTTTCCGAAATATTCACCAACTTTCTGGCTTTGATGGGATATTGTAAGTTACTCCTTCTCCTCTTCTCAGAATTTGCAACCGATGCTAACAATACCCCAGGGGTTGTCTTCTGGATCGTCATTACTCTGGAAGAGGAGTTTATTTTTCGCCGTCGCATGAAGCCCACCTTCATTTGGAGCGATTGGGACAAGCCACATAAGCTTCCAATTGGCCTAGCTGCACTAGCAGCTTTCTGTGTGGGGTGGACAGGTGCAGTTCTTTGCATGGCTCAGGTCTATTTCATTGGCCCTATTGCCAAGCAAGTGGGCGACTACGGAGCGGACATGGGTAATTATGTTGGATTTGCCTGGACCGCTTTGGTATACCCACCTCTGAGATATTTGGAGTTGAAGAAATTCGGTAGATAGATTCTTCGAAACGCAGTAACGACCTAACGATCTCAAGTAGTTTGGAGATGGGCATGGATTCTTGAAAACGTGGAGCCTAGAACTTAAAGACAGGGCCGTTGTAGCAGAAATGCGATTTGTGTGAATTATTAGATACGTCTCGCATATAATATGTATTTGGCTTTTCCCTTCCAAAGTTCCAACTTAACGCACCACACCAGCTCCATGTCTTCACTTATAACTCTATTATTCGCTGGCATCCGGCCCGTCCAAATAACTCCTAAATTCCCTCCGCAAACGCCTTTGCAAATACCACTAAATTCAATGCTTTTCACTCTGCATCTTCTTCGCCATCTGCTTCCTCTCAAACCGCCTAGTCATCTCGACAATCTCCCTCTCAATCTCACCCTGTCTCTGCGATTCCTCTACTCCCGCCCCCACATTTACATTCCAATCCACGTCCGCTATTTTCTCCGTCTCCTTCCCTTTCCCTTTCCCCCTACTCCCACTCCCACTCCCACTCCCATCACCAGCCCCACCCACCTCCCTCCCCATCATCCCTCCACCTTCACCACCCCATTCCCTCTCAAGCCCCGCCCGATTCCCCGTCCACTGTATCAAAGTACTCGCACCCCCCACCCCCCCATCCTTATCCCTCGGCACCACCCCAACTCCTAGCCCATCATCATCATCCGGCTCCCCATCACTCCTCTCCACGCCCTCCGGAATAGGCACCATAGCGCGCTTACACCAAATATGCTTAGCGGATTTCCAATCCAGGCCCTCGATACAGCCGCCCTTGACAGAAAGCACGCCTTTACCGGGCGTCGTGTGGATTACGCGCGTGCCGCAGTTACGGCAGAAATAGCAGTTTAATGTGTGACCTGATGCTGTAGGACGTCTGGTTTTTTTTTTTTTTTCAATCAGTAAGTAATACATTCTTTAAGTTGGCAAAGAAATGGAATAATTTGTATTTGTATTTGTAAATTGTAAATTGTAAATGAAAATTGGAGAGGAGAAGCAGGAGGAGCAAACGCGTAGTAACGTGACGAGAGCGCAGTGGGGCTTACGAATAACAACTCAACGCCTCTTTACACGGCAATTCAAAACGCGGGAAGATGGCTGAGCACCCGAAAGCAGATGATGATTGACGTCGGCATTCGTCGCAGTGGCAGATGTAGATAGCGAGGGGTTTGGCGAGGGGTGTTTTGAAGGAGACGGCGCCGCATTGACAGGATGCGTTCATGGTTGGTTGGTTGGTTGTGTCTGTCTAGGTGGATAAGGGGTGTTTTTCAAAGAGTATCCGAGGTAGGGATTTATTTTTATTTCTTTGTAGACGGAGGGGGGTTGAGGACGTGTGGTGGATGAAGGTTTTATTGGATAGTTAGTGGGGATTGATGACTGGGTTGCAGCGAGGTAGTGAATGGGAAGGTACGAGGCTGTCGGTAAACCGCAGACGGACAAGGGCAACGTGACTTTCAGAGACGAGAGATTGGGATTTTAGGGCTTGAGGTTGAGTTGTAACCAAAACAGAGAGAAGAGGTACTTTTGAATTCCAGTTAGTTGACTCATAGAAAATCACATGATAACAGGAGGTCTTGCCCTGGAATTGACCAATTAAATCATTACTTCTAGTTTTAGTACATTACATTTATCATTCAATATATCATTTTCTCATCAATCATCCGTATGTTAACCATTGACTAACTGATCGCCACTTTGTCGATGGTCTTGCGAGTTTTGGCCATTTCCATTGCCTTCCTCTGCTCTTTGTTGCCCCTTTCCAACATCAGAGTGTTTCGAAGGATCGAAGACATAGATGGGGAATTCCAGAAATATCGTCCGTTTCAAAATGGTGGGCATCTTCTCGTAAAGTTGTGGAGGGAATGGTATCAAAATACTGGTACGGTTCAAATATCTCGAGTACTCTGCCCAGTGATTGTTTTTCTCGTAACGCTTCTTTGCGCCTGGCCGCTCTTGAAGTGTCAAGCCCGAAACAAACATCAGGAGGATTGTCAGGAAAAAGGGGCCAACGATCGTGGCGTAGAGAGCTTTGTAAGCTTGGCCTTTGACGTAGCCATTTGCTGCGGGAGATACGCATATCATGTAGATAGCTATGATGGCGTTAGTTGTTAATTTCCACTCCAATCAATAAACTTACCAAATTGGATGATTATCTCTCCAAAGTAATTGGGATGTCTCGTCCACGCGAAGAAGCCTTTGTCACAGATAGCAGACTTGTCGCTTTTCTTGCTCTTGAATATGTACTTCTGTACATCACTAAAGGCCTCCATTATGAACCCAATAGCGAACAAAATCACCCCCGCGATATCGCGCCCAGTGCCGAAAGCAGGTTGTGGGTATTGAGTGACATTCGGCGAGTTCAGCACCGTAACAGGCAATGAGACAGTCCAGACCCAAAACATCTGGAAGATCCAGAAGCCAAGGAATTTGAAGAAATGGTCGCGCTTGTCGTCGAAACGATCGTCTTTGCCAGTCTTCAAGATACGAAATAGGAGGAAACCCGAGAGACGTAGGCCCCAGACCATAATGAACAGCGAGGCCACGATTTGACGAGCATTATGATGCCCGCTGAATGCAAGAGTGATTATGGCGAGGACTACAAAGTTGGTTCCGCCGGCGAAGTCTGGAGATTGGTTATTAGCTTTTGGAAATGAAAGCAGACTTCGGAAACAACTAGTCAAGCTACTTACCAGTAAGTTTGTCGAACTTCAAAGAGAAAGCAATCGCAAAGAAAAAGAGTTGGTATCCAATAGTTATGAGGAGGGTGATGGCCAGATAATAGTTATCTAGAGCGTGGACTTCCATCTTGCTGGAGTTTGAGCCTTGTAAGCTTTGAGAATATAGGAAGTTTGAACAACAGGAGAGATTCAATGTGTGCAGTAGGAGGATTGAGGATTTATATTCGAGCTGCCATAAGCCTGCATGTATGATGATGCATAGAGTTCTAGACTATCTCTTCATTGTCAGCACCAAGGATTGGCGAATGCGAAAGGATGCGATGCCACCGATTCGGATGAATGAAAGAAATGTATATCGTCATCGACCAGGTGGAAAGAGATCTACAGGGATGCTGCCGCTAGTTCCCGCGCTTAGCGAAGCTTGCCGGAGCTTGAGAACTCCGATTCTCCCCCTCCTCCCTTTTCACGTCGTTTCTCTTTTGTCACAAGTTTTGAAGATACCGTACAGGAGAACCGACTGAAATGAATTTGCTTGCGAGATGAAAGTTCTCGCGCTTTTCATACGATTTGTCCTCGGTGCCATAACATCGAATCGCATGGCTTCAAGGTTTGAAGATGCTAAACCTCGGGAATATCTATCTGCAGTTTGTCGTTGACTAGGTCTCTCTTGGGCAATCCAAGGCCAGATCCGGTGGCCTTCCAGTCGGTAACCTGGGCTGGGAGAGAATATTCCGTGAGATATCCTCGAGGGCTATTTCTTTGGTATTTTGTTTCTGTGTTGAAGAACAGCTGAGATGTGGGGAGGCTTGAAGCCAAATGAAACGCCGACTTCACAGAACGAGAACAAATGTTTTGGCGTCGTGTCCTTTACCGCAGTATGGCATGTTTATTTTTGGAGCTCGGGACTTTCACTGCTGTCAAGATCGCAATCAAGATTCAGTGCGTCTCGCTAAAGAAGCTTGATGCGATGCTACTGCATGAAACTCTATTTGTCTGGGCACAGCTCTTGGACGTCTCAAGCTTTACAACTCCTCAGTGTGGCGCGTGTATGGCCACCCTGCACCCCCGACTGCCATGAGACTGTCTGGGAAGAGCTCCGCACAACTGGCGCCTCTGAGTCGTCACGTTTATGCTACGACTCCCAAATAGGTTTGGCCCTGGTTTGCACTGTCACCCTGCTCAAGATCGCGAAACGTTCTCTCGGGTTTGAATGTCAATCTTGGTTGCTCATGGATAAGATGGGTCCTTCATCTCATCCCATTTGTTTTTGTGCTTTCCCATTGGTATCTCAGACTACTTTGGCAATTGCGTGTCGTGCTTCACTCTTGTCCAGAGCGCCAATGTCTCCACGCACCGTGTAAGATCAACCAGTTCATGTTTCTACTTCGCTGGCGGCTCCCACCCATTACCTTCTTTTGTTCACTTCTTCTGCCTGCCCGAATTTCCATCTGCAGTGCCGGTCACGCTGTTATTTTACCAAGACGCTCATTCAACATACCACGGCTGCTCTTTTTAGGAATCTTTTACTTTAATATAGGCTCTAGGCAGCCTTGCCACGAATAAGGATACTTTCTCTAGATAACCAAACACCATACGATGAAGACCTTCCTAAGGATATCAGTCTTGGCTGTCGCTGGCCTATCGAGTATTGTTCAAGTAGGAATACTGAATACATCAGACTTTTACACTACTGACTCTGGACAGGCTGATGATCACCTTCACGCCAATGCGCACGAGAGGCGTGGACTATCAGATCTTCTAGGTGCGCTCGAGGGATTGGGTCAAGGTCAAGGCCAGGGTCAAAGTCAAGACCAGGCCCAGCAAGCGGCAGCAGGGGCGCAAAAAGGAAAGCAATCGCAAGCAGTTCAAGCGGCGACAGGAGGGAAGAAAGGGGGCAATCGCAAGCAGTTCAAGCGACGACTATCATTGTTGGAGGGGCAGCAGCCGCAAAAGGAAGCAATGCTACTTGTGCAGCGGCGGGAAATGAAAAGACCGTAACAATTACGAAGACTGAAAAAGCTGCCGCTCAGGGAACTGGAAATGCGTATGAAAACCTTGGTGAAAGAAATTGGACTGAGCTGACTGATACAGTGCCGTTCAATTATCCTTCGTAACAAAGACAGAGTTTGGTTCTGGAGCAGCCCCAACGGTTACGGTCACTCCGCTTCCACAAATGATCACGCAGATGGTTACGGTTACTGCAAACGCTGCAGCTATAGCAGGAGTAAGCGAAAGTGCGGCTGGGGTCTCATCAGCACCCGGGACTGCAGCTGAAACTGGAAAAGCAGGTTCAGGGAAGGGAAATGGAGCAAAGAGTTCGGCAAGTGCGGCTGCTACTCAAGTAGCTGGTGCTGGGACTGGAAATTCTGGTTCCGCAGATGCAAATGGCAATGGAGCAAAGGGTTCCGCAAATGCGACTCAATCAGCTGGTAAGTACAAATGATACAGTCAAAAAAAAAAAAATTCTCTGACACTTCATAGCAGGAATTGCTCCAGCAGTCGGTCAACCTGGAGCCATGGCTTCAGCAGTAGGGACTCTTGTTGCTGGTGGCGGATGCGATTGCTCATGTCTCTGTGGAGCTGGATCTTTTCCAAACAACAATGTTGGCTCTAGTTCTGGTTCTAGTTCTGGTGTTGCTGCCGCTCAAGGGGCAACAACCCTGCAGACCGTCGCTTCAAAGGCCTCAAAAGCCTCGAAATCTGAGGTTTCCGCTCCCAGTTCTTCAATCTCGCCCTCCATTGCAGCAGCTGGTGTCCAAGCTCAGAGTGCAGCCTCTTCCTCAGGCTCTGCAATATCCTCTGCTTCAAGCGCTGCTAAAACTCAGAACGCCGGTGCTTCATCAGCATCAGTCACGAGCGTGTCCTCAAGCGCTAGTTTGGCATCTTCATCCTCAGTTTCGTCTGCTCCTGTGGCTCAAAGCGCCGTCGTCGTTTCATCATCATCAGACTCGGCATCTGGAGCCTCAAGTTTCAAACTATCAGTAGCTGATGTGCAACCGACACCCCAAGCAGCTGCTGCTCAACTCGCGCCTACGATCTCTGATCCTGTCGATATCAGCACGTTCTCACTCGTCAGTAGTTTAGTCCTGGGAAATCTGGCCAAGGCTACGGGAGCACCTTAGTTGCATATTACATGAATAAATGGGTTTCTTGAATGGTGTTGATATTAATAATGTTTCGGGTGTTGTTGCAGGGGATAATACCAATTATCGGTTGTAAAATGAAAAGTTAGAAAGGTTCGAGTCCTGGTGACACGAGTTTAGCTGTAGATATATATCATTCACTTCGCATAAAAAGCCAAAAATTACATGATTAGCCATTCGCTTTTTCTTTTATTGTACTAGGCGTATCTGACCCTTTTGGTATACTTGTCTCCTTCAAGGGCATAGCATCTGTCGAAGAACCACTTTCCTTCTGTGACTGTGAAGACTGTTTCTCAGCCTTCAAAGCCTCTAGCCTCAATCTCTTCGCCTGCCTCTTACTGACCGGCGTCCTATCCGAACCATCCTGCTCCGCTACCCTCTTCCCCTTCCCCTTCTTCCCAGCACCCTGAGCGCCAGATCCAGGCACAGCAGCACACCCCTTATTCTGTTGTTCAACCACCGCCCTCTCACCCCCCTCAACAACATCCACCACGCCCCTAAACCCCCTCCTCTTCAGCCCCTCATTAACCACCACGCCCCTAGGATTACACCCCATCCCCTCCGTCCCCCTCTC